TATATCTAATTAGTTTTACAGTGTTCATTAGCAAATGTGGTCAGATTATGAGTTTCACCAAATTTCTGCAATTCCTGCAAGCCATGGCTGCCTGGGTGATAAATAACCTCAGTCTTGCCTGCTGTAATTAGTCCAACCACTGAAGTGTTATATTTTGCCCTTGGTGTCTGGACAAAAAGTATGGTCTGTATCATTTAATCTAAACGATATGCAGATCTTATTCTTCTTCAGAGATATACATAGCACAATCCAGTCCAATCCATATCAAACCTGTTGTCATATTGTTTTCTATGGTAATATATAAAATCCTCATGTTACACAGATCTAAATGCAAGGATTAGGGTATTTTTGTGAAAAATCCAATCAGTTCCCATCTTTTAAGGTTGTTGATCAGTTTTAATGTGCTCATGTTTTAAATGGTGAATGTGTATCATAGACATTTTGGTAATAGACTTCATATGTTTCTCTCTCTCATTACTCTCAACATTACTTTTGCAGTAACTTCACTCTTTTTTAAATTTTTTTCCATACCTATGGATCAGCTGACTGCCTGAAAAGGAAATTCCTGTAAACTATTAGTGTCCTTAACTGGTCAGACAGGTATATGGTGAACTGATTAGAAAGTAGGTTCTGTTGACTGGTTTACTTTCAATTTTAAGCTTCAAGTCTGACACGAGATTTACTCTGGATTTAGAATCCTGGAGTGAGTCAGTCTTCATTATTGCCTGCATGAGTAGGTTAAGTACTGCAGTTAAATTCATTTCAGCCATGCACAGTTGATTACTCTGTAGAGTATAGTGTTCAGGGAGAACTGCAAAAAAAAAAAAAAAAAAAAAAAAAAAGAAGATGTTATTTTTTTTTTGTTAAATACATGCATTTTTTCTTGATTTGATCAGGTGAATGAGACACTTTGCTGATGGAATAAGACCATTTCCAGTTCAAATACGGGAAAAAAACTGCAGGCTCTTATTTCCTCTGCATAATATCTAATTATCTCATTCTAAGGTTAAAATTACTAATTAGCAGATCATCTTATTTACCAACCCAGATTATTTTAAGAAGTTATTACTCATTTTTTCCGGCATGGAAGGGAGTTTATAGAACTAGTTCTGTGTGAGGGACACACACTAGTTCATAATGTTTTTTGCGCTTTTAACCCTTTTGTTACGATGAAATACTTATATAAAACAAAAAATTTGAGGTTTTTATAAACAAGCATCACAAATTTGAATTTGTTTAAGAGTTTTTATAATTTACAAAAGGTATAAATCATTCATACAGATTTTACTACAGTTATGACCTGTCCATGGTGTACCCCTAAAAAAATAGACGTGACTCTGAAGGATGAAGTGAGAGAAGATGGATGGATTAAATAATATTTTGTTTAAATGAGCAGGTGTATGATTAAGGTTGGTGGTTATCACACCACTGATAGAATATATAACAATTTGTCTTGATATATGTAAACCTGACCTTAACAGGAAATGTTGTGACATCAGAATAGATTTGCTTCTCTAAACCTCAGCTGCCTCTTGGGGTTTAACATGTCCTTTCTACTATTCTTTTCCAGCAATAATATTGGGAATTATTCCGCCTTAGGTAAGAGGCAGCCAGCTAGACTGAGGATGTTCCTCACTAGCAGCTGGGTGTCACATCCAAATAAAAGTAAATTAGCTGTCACCACGGCTCGGCTTAGGAGCTGCATGCTATGCCTCAGAGTATCCTTTTTCACTTGTTCTCTCTTCATACTAGTGCAAGAAAACATGCTATAGTAGCACGAAAATAGAAATGGGTGTCCTTAAGCAGGGGATGAATTAAAGCTATAAAACAGCTTTTATTGGAAAAGAGATCACATACATTTAATCAGTTAGTGTTTGCAGTAATGCTTCAATGGAAAAAGAAGAAAGGCATTCTTTGCTTCTACCAAATCAAAGGGTTGACCTCTCATTTACTGAAGCTCATTTCATTCTAGGTGGAGCAACACCATGACCCCACAGACTGTGTTTTGTCCTCACTCAATGTTGACATCCAACAGAATATATATATATATATATATATATATATATATATATATATATATATATATATATATATATATATATATATAAATAAACTCAGCTATATTACCATAAAATAGAATTAAATCTGTCTGAACTTATGAGTAAATGTAAAAAGGGGCTTTAATTAACTCCAAAAACAGAGAAAACCATTTGATGTTGTCATGCAACAGTTTTTAAAACATCTACTACACACACCTCTAAACATCTACTATACACACCTTATTAATACATAAACTGAAAGTCAACAATAACCAAATGCTTGCAATCACGGGTTTTGCTGACCCCTAATGGCCACATGAGGTAACACAACAGCTGTCTTATCCATTGTGCATATTTATTAGAACACTGGAGAGCAATACACAGGGGTGGGGGTTAAACAAGACATAACTGCTATGGCATAATATGTGTATACTTTTGTATTTACACTTCATGATGCACAATGCAAAAACATGGATTTTGACCATTAATCACAGTACAACACTGCTACAGTAGACCACATTGTCAAAAAAAAAAGACAACCGCACAATAAAAAACATGAAGGCAGTATGCACGAGCATAAATAAGTCAGCAAAAGTACCTTGACTGTGTACAAAATATAACATCTTATTATGTAGTATATGAAGTTTGTAGTGTTTCAGACAATAAATACTGGCAATGCACTGAAAAGGCAATACAAAGCAACAGCAGTTTAGAGAGCAGAGTCGCCAGTTTTTTTTAGTCTGCAGATAAAATATGGTGGCCTCTTACAGTCGTGCTTCCTGCTGCCTTTATGCATCGACCAGGTTCTTCTTTATTATGCTTAACATAAATATTTTAGTTCACTAACTGATCAAGAATTGATCAAACACATTTTTCTGTATTTTCCTAAATACTGCACCGATTAGATAATGACTTATCTTTTGCGGGTATGACCGAGCCTAAATCTATGGTTTCACCAGGTGTAAATATATCTTATTTATCCGAAGTAGGCATGGGCCAGCTATCAGATTAAGGTTTAAAAGTGTTGTTTTTTTTTTTTTTGGACCAACCACTAGAATTCCTTAAAATCCTTTGAACAGAACTTTCTTCATCTTGGATCATAGAGTAGCTCTTCGCTTCCCTTTTTTCAGTTCCTGTGCACTGCTGGTCAGAATCAAGGACAAAAATATTCCTGACCAGTCATGAGGAGGAAAATGGGAAAGCCCAACCCATCACTTTAATTATTAAGATTATTTAAACCACAATTAGAACTGATAAAATGGGCTTTATACCTACTTCACTCTCTTGAGAGTAAAACAGTAAAAATTAGACTACATTCAGTGCAAATATATGCACTTAAAACCTTCTATTATATCCAACAAATGTCAATTCTATTTGCTGTGCGTTAAAACACACAAAAAGCATTATAACCATTATTCAAGATGTAAAAAAAAAAAAAAAGGTTTCTGCTTCCAGGATTCCAGAAAGTTCATTTCAAGACATTTTGTTAAAACCATTAGAGAGGCAAGGAGAAATGTTAAAGGTTAGATACAAAACAAATATGAAGAATCAAAAGCAAGTTACTGTAACTTAATAACTTGGTAAAGTACTAAAAAATTTCCATAAAAATGATATTATTTAAATATACCTTTGCTAACTTATGTGAGATTAGCCAAATTTTGGAATGTGATTCCATTGCTCTGTGATAATTGGCAACATATTTTAATCATTTTTAATAACAGAGCTTGGTACTTTTTCAGGATGAAGGATATAATTGCTGATAAAGAAAGTAACAGAACTTTAAAAAAATTTTTTTTACTCCTCTGCACTACTAACAATGCAGCAGTTCAGGAGCAAAATCTGAGGGTTTAGGTAAAGGGTGGATTTCTATGCCCAATAGTTTTGTTAGAGGTAATAAAACAAACTCCCCAGCTAGAACAACAGCAAACAAAGAAAAATATTGCAATTAGTGAATTCTCAAATAAAAAAAAAGACAAGAACATATAAAAATAGAAGAAAAAAAAACAATACCCAATTTAATTGTAATTTTGGTCCAAGTGTATAAACTGCCTACATATATTTGAACATTTTCATCACCTAATTAAAGCCAAGATTTCTTTCTTTTTTTTTGAGGTCTTTCTAAAATCCTGTTGTTAATATTTTCATACGTTGCAGTACTAAAAATTAATATCAGCAACCAGAGCCTGTTTACACTGCAAAAACGATATAGAAATAAGTAAAAATGTCTTAAATTAAGTGTATTCACCCTTAGTGCGAGTAGGTAAATGAGATGGTTTGCCAATGGAATGAGTAATTTTACACTTAAAATAAGATAATAGGATAAAATGCTCTTGAAATAAGACAATGCAATTGTGTTTTCTTATTTTAAGTGTAAATTGTCTTGTTCCATTGGCAAAATTTCTCTTTTACCTCCTCAAACCAAGAACAAATGCACTTATTTTAAGATAAAAATAACGTATCTAGATTTAGATTTTTTGCAGTGTAAGTTTTTAGTTTTACTTCTTTCCCTAGGAAAAAAAGGGGAAATTGTTAGATTTTCATGCGTTATCAACATATCTTATGTTATATGGACCCATGCCTACAGTAACTGTGGACTGTTTTCATAACGTTAGGTAATTTTGATTCTTGCCATCAAAAAGCATTTATAAACTGTTACTTCATCCTGCATGTAGTTGATAAAAAATAAAATTCATACACTATCAGCACAAAAACACAATTCCACTTTTATCACATTATGCAGAGTCCTCTGACTCTCAGTATACAAATGCACCTCAATTAATTAGAATAAGATTGAAAATAAATATAATTTCAGCAATATATATATATTTCAAAAAGAGAAACTCATATAATGCACCAATCCATAAGATAAAAGAAAACTTGTTTTTATGTGAAGCACTGAGTCCAACTCAGGCATCAGCTTGCAAAACTCAGAGGCTTTTAAATGGATTTTGCATCAAATCCTTTCAAGCCTGCTTCTTTCCTTGTTGTTTGCAGAATGTTTTTAATGCAGTTTTTCCTTTTAATTAACTTTTTTTTTTTTTTTTAGAAATGCACTTGGATAACACGCTCTGAGTCGCAGTTACATTTTGTAAATAGATCTAATTGTACCAATGGGTGCCTTTTAATCAGACACAATTTCAGGTGTAATTAATTCATGAAATCTATTTTAACTTTGACTTCTTGTAATAACTGAAATAAATACATTTTCAATAATATTGTATTTCATTGAGATTCATAGTATTTGTAAAACTCACTCTTTGCCCGTGATCAATAAATAGAAATTAATATGTTTCAACAAAAGGGGAGGGTCAGGGGGGTGGCACCAGTCTCTATGGAGAGTTAAAGTCTAAGAAGAGGAGTCTTCCTCCACAGGATGAAGAGTGTGTTTCTTCAGCAATGCCTTCAACATCTCCACTTCCTGATACGCCTCCCTGAGTTTCCTTCGTAGTGATTCGTTATTTTTTTGAAGTTTCAGATTTTCCTAAGAAAAACACAAAAAGTCAGGATAAGGTTTGGATTTCAGCTAAACAGGTTAAAACTTTTTATATTTATTTTTTTTAAGGCAATTTTTACACTCACAAATTCCAGGGATTCATAAGTCGTTTTTGGCCCCTCAGCTGGTTCTTTGGGTTTTTGCAAGATGGAGGTGTTCTCCCACTTGGCACAGTGTTTTCTCATGGGAATGGGGCTTGGACAGGAGGGGAGGCTGGGTGGGACAGGGACTAGAAGAGAGGGCTGAAAGCGGGTGGCTTCAGGGGCGATGCAGGATAGCTGAGGTCCCTCTGTCTGGGTGTAGCTGCTGACTCTTGCAGGCCTCCAGTTGGGGGTGACTGGAGATTCTGGGCTCCAGTCCCTCCTTCCATCTGATGGGTAAGGGAAAAGACACTCTTCTGAACCTAAGGAGAGTCATTTTATTATTAAGCACAACAAATGAAAATTGCAACATAATTTTTTAAAAGTTTGTTTTGTGGCACTTTAAAACTTTCATATCTTAAAGGACATCTGACACCTCAAAACAAAATGACTAAGCTTCATACGTCATGCTTACCCAAATACGTGTAGCAAAATAGTGCATAAGAAACAATCCCACACACTTAAAAAAAATTTCTGGGCAAGTCAGGTTATATTAAGTAAAATTGAAAGTTAAAATGTTCTGAATATAGTGGCTTCCTTGCACCCAGTGGGCAGCTATGAGTATTACTGTAAGTGAACCAGTTCCCAATGACAGCTGGAGGGAAATTACCTACACAGCATAACTTACACTTAAGTGTTTTGTTTCAGCTGCGGCAAACTTAGTCAAAAACCATTTAAAATGAGACTTTAAGGCTCATCTGGAGTTTTGCTAACAGCGATTTAATTAAATAGGCCAATTTAAATTTAATAATTAAAATTTACAAGGCGAAAATTCCGCCACCAGATGGCAAATGAATTGTAGGTTTGCTCTCAAAGGTGGTTGTGAAAGTAAAAACAACATGTGTGAGAATGAGACGTTATCTGCTGGGAACACAATCGGAACAACCCACCGTCTGAGGTGCTTGTTGTAACAGGCGTGGAGCTCAGTGTTGGACTGTCAACGGTGCTGGCCCCTTTGGTGTTCTTCTTGCATTCGAACGCCACCTGATCCTTGCACAGCCTGTGACAATTCATGCCACAGTCTAAGCAAGCCAAAACAATTCACATGTTAGGGCAGGAAGTTTGTCTCACAACAACTAACTGCCTTCCCACTTATCAATATGCTACCTATTCTGCAAATGCAACTCTTAGACCTGTGCAAGCGTACAGCAGAGCAAATACTTTTCTTCAGATCTTCTGCAGGACGGGGGAGGGGAAAATCTGTGGTTCTGAGTACAGTCTTTTTTTTTCTCCCTGCACTGCAGGGTTCACTTCGTAAAATGCAGCTCAGAAAACCACAGCTCACCTCACCTGCTCCCCACTACAAAATGCACGCACCTCTCCATGCCAAAGATAGAAATTGTGAAGTGAAACAACAGAGATAAAACCTACCCTTGCATTTGTAACCTTGCTTGATGACACCCCATAGCTAAGAAAAAAAAAGTAGAAAGGAAAACACACATTAATGGATGCAAAAAAACCCAGTAAATTTTTGTGGTAGAAAGAAAGTTGTTTCTTTTTCAGTTTACTTACAAACCCTGAGCAGTTGTCACAAAAGGTGGGTTTCATGTAAGTCGTTTCCTGGAAGTTGTGAGCAAAACCCACGCCCAGTTTGGAGCAAATAACACTGGCACGCATGAAATAAGCTGTGATCTCCTCTCTGCTCACAAGGCCGTTGCTTTAAAACCAAAAAACACAGACTGCTATGAATGATTAAGTAATTAAAAGGAAACATCTTTATATAACAAATTCTACATAATTCCTTATATATATGCATGTTCTATAAATATCTGCACCAGCTCATCGGATGTTTGTTGTTAAAAGCAGAAACGATCAGCTGGTTGGGTTTTCATGTAACTATCTAAAGTGTCCTATTGGTTCCTTTTGAGTCTATAAATGCTTCCTGTTGCTATGTTCACTACAAATAGTACGTTTGCTTCCTTTTCTTTCTGAAGTCAGATATTAGCAAGAAACTGAGGGTGTGACCTGTCAAATACCCACTTCTCTTTGTCCATTACACAGAATGAGAAAGGAAAGCTTGTAGCAATTTTCTCAAAGTCCTCCTGAGAAATAAAGCCATTCTGTTCTGGATCGTAGTTCTTAAACACGGACTGGAAGAGACAAAAAGCAAACACGTCAGAACGGTATCCTGTAGCTGCAAGACTACAGACCATATGAATGTGCCGTATATATACTGATGGTTAAAACTGCAGATTATTTTTGTATAAATATATAAGTGAGTGGTCTATGCTTTAAAAAAGAAGTACTTACATCTACCATCCTCTGCACATGTTTGCTGATGGTTCTGGGATCAGGTTTAGGAGCCACTCCTGATGCCCAGTCCACATAAACTGGAGGTTTGGAGGGAGTAGCTGGCTAACGAAAAAGAAAAGAAATATCACTAAACACATAGAATTGTACAAGAAATTAATATTCAACAAATATGTGCATTGTGCATGCATTTTGCAACAACTATCCGTTCAGTGTTAGCTCCTATTTAACAGCAAATCCTTCAGTAAAAGCAAATATAAACCAGAAAATCAGAGTCAAATTCAATCATCAAGCTGATAAACAGATCCTACTTAATTGAGCAATCTCTGAGTTAAATTTCCCAAAGGACAGACTGAAACAGGTTGAAGTTTATTTTTGGGAGGCAGTTCTGTGCTACTGCTGTCAATAACTTACATTATAGGTGACAGAGTTGGGCCTGTTTTTCACCTTTTTCTCTTCTAAACATAGCAATTGACTCAACTTTTACTGCGACTCGCTGTACGAGCTCCCTTTCAGCTGATATGACATGAATATTATTTCAAAGCCTGTCTGCTTGACTTTCTTTCTTGAACAGAACCACCTGTGGAGTTATTTTACCATTATATTTTGTAACATAGAAAGTATTTATAGATTATTGCTTCTAAGGTCCTTTTATGTGTATGCTCCTGTCCTTCAACCCCCACTAGCCCTCTGCAGAAGGCCACTCACAATGAGCTTAGAGGTTTCTTCCTGTTAAAATTAGTTGTTTGTCTCCACTTTCGCAGCATACTTGCTGCGAATTCAGGATTGCTGCAGAGTCAGCGGTACAATGAAGCAGCTGTCTACTATCCACATAAGCTCATCCAGGAGGAGCGAATCCTTGAAAGTCAGTGACTCAAAGTGATCATCTGGCTTTCGATAAATGGCACTCGGTAAAGTGTCTTGAAATTACATTTTGAGAACTAAAGCTCTATAAATAAACTGAAATGAACGGTAAAACTGAATTGTGTGTTTTGTACTGGAGGTGTGTGCAAATTATTTCAAAGATATGAAAACACTTTCCACTGTTTAAGCAGATTTATTCAGACGGTTAAAGACATTTTTTTTTCATCTCAACAAAAGCATAGTTAGCACAGCTTGTCTCTAATAACTGCTTTTCAAATTTTATTTAGAGTTTCTAGCAACTTCTCACTTGTAGATAGTTATTTGCTGTTTCCCGTTTTGAAAATAGGACCTGACACAAAATTCCATTTTGTTGGGTTACGGCAGATAGGGAAAAGATTGAGATTTTCCAAAAAATAAAACTCTAAATGGGTTTTTGTGGAACAAAGGATAAACATGATAAAAAAGATACTCTTAAATATTTTGGAGGATTTATATAGATTTTTTTTCTAGATTTCATGTGAACTTTGTTAGAGTTCTGAAATGAGCTCTAACGCTCACACTGAGCCTAGTTCTGCTTGAGGTTTCTTCCTGTTAAAAGGGAGTTTTTCCTCTCCACTGTCGCTACAACCATGTTTAGCGTGTTGGATTGCATTCAAGTCAACGAGTCCTTGAAATCAACTGGTTTTCCATTGATAGAAAACTTTGAAGCAATTTGATTGTATGATCTGGTGAATTGCAAAGTGCCTTAAGATGACATGTGTTGTTAATTGGGGCTATATAAATAAACTGAATTTGAAATGAATTGTAAAAGTAACATTTAATTTAAAAAAAATGACCTTAAATCTATGAGTTAAGTCAAATTAAAGCAACCTATTACAAGGATATATTTTTGTAATATATATTTATCAAATGCATGTAGGGAAAACTCGATACAGAAATGGTTTTCAAGAGACTAATTCAGGGGTCGGCAATCCAAACTGCTCAAAGAGCCATACTGGACCAAAAAAACAAAAAATAAATCTGTCTGGAGCCGCAAAAATGTAAAAGTCATATATAAGGCTTGAATGGCAACACGGGCTCCAAGTGTATTAACCTACTATAGAAAGGACTATGTGGGCTTAAATATATAATAAGCATTCGTGATTAAATGTTAATCCTGAAGCAAATGTCAAATAGCAGCATGAGGTGAGGGAGGAGCAGTGAATTCACCATGCGCTGCTTCACCGTCCTTCACCGTGATTTAAGTTTTGTTGCATTTATGAAATTATAGAAACTCAATAAACAAATCTTTCTATGATGGACGTGTTTCTGTTGGGAGGATTTGATTGAGTCATGAGGAAACCTACATTTTTGAAAAAGCTCCAGGGAGCCACGGGTTACCAACCTCTGGACTAAATAAACTCTCCTTCCATGAGAATTTGGATTCTCATTTCTCATGTAATTCAGTTGAAAACCTCATAACTGTCCCAAAATGCACAGGTTTCCAGTGTGAGAGGACTATTCTGCATTATAAAATATGTAAAGGCTTTTTAGAGCTTAGTGCCAGTAGGTTTGGGTGAAATAACTGATGGTATCATCAGAAGTTTGAGATTTAAACACTTACCGGTGCTTTACAGTTCTTTGGTTCCCGTGCGTAAGACAGCTCATAAATCTCATCCTCTGTATAGTAGAGGTCCAAGGACAGCTGTGAGTGAAAAACAACAAGAGCTGTAAACGGAAAATAATGATTTGCCCCAATCCTATGATTTCTCCTTGAATTAAATGCAGTGTTGAGGGGACATCTAGTTTCGCAGGACAATTGTTATGTCTCATGGGCATTCTGTCCTTTGAGTGTGAATAAAACACAGAGATAACACAACAATGCAGCGACGTGAACTCAGTCTCATTCACATTCAGCTCAGTACCCACACACTCATAGATCATGGACTCTCATCACACCCACACAAGACATTTGCATTTATGCATGTGTCCTCAAATTAGTGAATTACGTCAGGCTGCACAATATTTCACACAATCTTAATATGAACTTCTGCAGAGAGGCTCATTACCGTCAACAGATGAACAAGGTCCTTATTTGCATCCAGTTTGGAAGGGATCTGCTGCAGCTGAATAAGGTCGTTGATGTGGTTGTAGAGTGCCTGGAGCTTCTGGACATTCACCTTGTTGTCATCCACATAATCTGACATGGCCTCGTTGACAGAAATCAAATCTTTGAGATGGACACCGAGGATGGGGATTTTAAAATCTGTAACCCTATTATAAGCTTGTCTGTAGTTGTCATAGTTTCTGCAGGAGGACAGCAGATCCGTCATCTCGTTCAGTACCTAAGGAATGGATGTGTAACATTTAGTTATAAATAATAGCAATATTATGTAGGTCTTTTAGGGATTAGCAACAGGAAAACAAAAAACTTTTTTTTATGTTCTCTGTTCAGACTTTACTGAATAAAAGCTGGGAAATCTCATTTTAGTGCATGTGGAATACTGATCTGAGCTCTTGTGAAATTTTCCCATGCAGCTTAACCAGCCATACCACAATGTTACCATCATGGCCATCACGTCTGCGCTAAGATGTTTCCTCAAACTACGCACCAGCACAGAAACCTCCCTATAGAAGTAATTGAGAGATTTCCGTGCCCCGACTATCAGTGAGGAGACATAGAAGAATCATTAGGACCTTTATGGGCTTATCAGAAAAGCTGAAACTGAGAAGCTCATATAGTGTTTCTACACAGAACACAATATAAAAAATGTGTGTTTTTACTTGAATAGAAATTGAAAGTCAGTCACCATCTGAAATCTCTCATCATCCAGTTGGGATATGCTATTGGGGGGGGGGGGGTGTGCTTTTCTCCCAATTTGGAGCCCAAAGCATAACAGTTTCTACATCAAAATAACATTAGCATTGTGCGTGATGGTTTCATGTGGATAATGTTTAATATATTTGGATTTGATTAGTGAGTTATTTCTGTCCAAATGACAGATTACACAGTAAGCAACCTGCCTTTCCTGCTACCTTTACCTCACATGCAGGAAGAAATGCTTCTAAAGTAAAAACACACCACCCAAGGAAGATTGGCACTTCCTCAAACTGACTGCAACTCTCACGCGCCTTGCTATGCAATGGAATAAGTTGGGTTATTTTGGGGGGCGGGGGGTTTAATTTTAATTGCTTGATTTTATTATGTGCCTTTTTTAAGCACTACCTTGGTGTCTTCATCAGGCACATGCGATGTGGTGTCTTTAAGTCTCGATATCGAGCTGTGAGACAGTCCTCCCACCACTGCCATTAGTGTGTTGTAGTTGTGCTTACCATGTAGACACTAGGGGAAAAAACGAGTACACACAAAGAAACCACAATAAGAGACTTCACATCATTGGCAAAAAAAAAAAAAAACACAATTAAATTGGTTCCAGGTAACATTGGTTACATAACTCTCAACACAGATGTTACATAAGCCACTTATATTGTTATCTTTTTCTAGCTGCACACTGATATTTCATTCTTTTTTTAAAATGCCTTTTCTCCCTCTTTTCAGTTTTCTAATCTGTGCTGTCACTGAAGCATTATGGTGTGCAATTCATTTCCACACCCATGGGTTTCGAGGTTGACAGCAACAGGCAACAGCAGTCTGGTGCATAACCGTCAGTGTGAGAGGTCTAGCAGAGTACAAGGCTGCCTAACGGCTCCCTGACGCTAGTGTATCACTTCTCTGCAGGCTGCAAGCAGCTTCCCCCTTGGAAAGATTTTAACAAGCACAAACTGGTCAGTGACAGCAATCACAAGTCAGTTTTCAATTTTCCCCTGCTGCGTGAGTCTTGTTTCACTCCTACAGTTACTAGCAGCTTGAAATAATAGTTTTTGCATTTGTAAAATGTTAAGATCAGTTAAGTCCTGCAACATATTTACTGAAAATCATTGCAAAGTATGCTAGATCTCATTCTGAAACATATACGGACCAAATCTTTAAAGCTTTCAGCATTTCTTCATGTCACAATTGCTGATTTGAATGCCTTAAATCAGGATTTATACAATATACGTACAAGGCGCAATGAGTATTTATACAATGAAAGGAAAATAATACATTATTACAATTTTTTTTTTATTAAAATCTAAATGTGCAGATTTTTTGCAGGTAGGCAAAAAGACAAATGCAGTCTTGTGCTACATGTGAAGTGCAGACACATTCTTCTTCAGCTTTCTTTCAGATATTCTAATGCCTGGTGTTCTTTTATCAAGACCAGATTTATGAAGCCCTAATAGATGTTTTTTGACATATTTATCAAAGTAAGGTGTGGATTTCTGCAGCTTCTCTAGTCAACAACCTACAGTTATGTCTAATGTACCAAGGGACCATAACAATGGCACTGTATGTTTAATTCAACCTTGCAAGTTAATTATAGCAGGATGATGTGAACAGGAAATGTCTAGAGCTTTAGTACTATAGAAGAAATAGTGGGGGTTGAGTTAACCACTACCTGTGCAACATGGATAAACTTGGTGAAAACCTCAGCTCTCAGCTGAGCTGTTGGCCGACTCAGCACCATCAGCTGAACCCACTGGGAAATCCCGTTACACAGGGCGATGGAACGCTCCAGCACAGGGATGTCCTTCATGCAGCAGTGTCGAATGTAATTTATAAAGTCTACAAACTGACAGAGAGCAGACAGAGGAGCATCAACTGCTTTGTGGAAACTGAGGGATTTCCACAAGGGGGGAAATATTTAATGGTTTTTAAAAACTATCGTCATTTTATTTGAACAAAACTATGAAGCAAAAACAGTACAGTACTGAATTATATGAAGCCCAAAAAAGATGACATACTTACTGATATTCTACAAAAAGATTTGAACTCCAGGAAAGTGAGATGTTCAGCCAACTCACTGGGTTCCAGGTGATCAAAAAGAAGAGAAACTTTCCTCTTTTTACTATAGTGAGGTTGAATCTTTAGGCTGGCCTTCCACGACTTCTCACGCTCATTTCTAGAACACCACAAAGACATTTCCACATCAGAAAGGATCAAACAGATTGGTTAAATAAAAAAGAAAAGAAAATCATATTTAATAAGAGGTATAGAGGATGATAATTTTTTTTACGGGTGGATGATCTAAATAAGTGGTCCTAATTGTCAATGATTTATCTGATATGTTTTTACGTAAGGCCGTCCTACGTGCTTGCCCCATTAGCTATATTTTCCTGTGAATGCTCACTTTCAGACATATATCTGTGGTGAGCTACGGTTTCAGACAGTCATTAAAGCTCACCTGCGGTTCTTTGAAAATGGCAGAGGGTCGTAAGAGAAAAAGTGTCTACAAAGTGTATGAGAAGAAAAAAAAGGCTTTAGAAGAGGAAGATATATCCCATGCTTTGCGCGGAGAGCTGTCTTCGCAAAGCATTTTGGGATTTGCTGTCACAGCGACCCGCTGTGGCCATAGGCTGTCGATACCCGACAGCTGCGGCTAATATCAAAGATGGCACAGGCACCGTGCAGTGGACCAACGGAGAGTGATTATTGGTCCGAACATCAAGTTAACTGAGTTCACTTTAAAGTCCACTCTCTATGTAGGGATTGAGGGATATAGGGGTTAGGGCGGACGTTCGAACACAGTAAGCTTGTATGAGCTATGAGAACAGCAACTTTTAAACAGAGCGTGCACAAGGAGAAATCGGTTTATTTTTTAAAGTGGAGAGGGCGGGTCTTTTAAAAAAATTCAAGAAAATGCTCCACAATACCTTTAAGAGTAAACCAATTTTGTCTAGCTAAATTTATTCAAATAATCTTCTAAATAACTAAATTCTATTCAAAAATCAAAAGTAATGATGATTTTGCTTATTTTCTTACCAGCCAAATGTATCTGAAATTTTAAAAATTATGAAAAAAAAAGATTTCCAGATCTTTTATGCATTTGTTAAGGTTGAATATAAAGTCAAACAATATCTGATGTGAGTGCAACTCTAAAGGAAACATAAGCTGGAACCTTTTGACCTTTAGGAATGGCCCAATAATCACATTACTTAATTCCATGCAATCAGGTAACCTTGGTTCTTTAGCTGTTTAAAACCAAAAGTAATAGCATGAACTGTTTTAAATCTGGCCAATAATTATCCATCTGGAAGGACTTCACTGCAAAAATGATCTAGAATTAAGTAAACATTTCTTAAATTTAGTGTATTTACCCTTACTTTGAGTGGGTAAATATGATGATTTGCCAATGAAATTAGTATCTTTACTCTTAAAATAAGAAAATTAGATAATATGAACTTGAAATAAGACAATGCAGTTGTTTTTTCTTATTTTAAATGTAAATTGTCTTGTTCCATTGGCTATGTGTCTCACTTTCGTACTAAATTGGAGAAAAAATGCACTTATTTTAAGCAAAAATTGCTTAATTAGATTTCCATTTTTTGCAGTGTTGGAGAATATTATGATTACTTTTTTTTTTTTTATCATTTTATCTAATACAGAAACTTTTAACCCCCAATACACCTCTTCCATTCAGAAGGCAAGCACAACAAAAGAAACCTAAACACTATAAAAGATCTTTAACTTCCACAGAATCTCCAGGAAAACAATGGAACAGTGGTCAATGTGTGCGTTTCTCCTGCATCACCCTTCTCTGTTAAACCAATGAACATTTGATTGCACAATACTTTCATTTATGTTCACCTAACTAGTATTTTTCCATACCTAGAACAACTTTGGTCGAAAATATTGAAAACCATTTTATGAGGGGAGCGATGGTCTAGCAGTTAGGTTGCAGTACCCGGTTCGATCCCCACAACTTCCACACTGGGTTCCTGAGCAATACCCATAACCCCACACTGTATCCCCCACACTGCTGTCCAAGGGGATGGGTTAAATGCAGAGGGTTAATTTCCCCATTGTGGGACAATAAAGGGATTTACATAACCTACCTCTCATCATTATTATGGATGGATAGATAGATAGATAGATAGATAGATAGATAGATAGATAGATAGATAGATAGATAGATAGATAGATAGATAGATAGATAGATAGATAGATAGATAGATAGATAGATAGATAGATAGATAGATAGATAGATAGATAGATAGATAGATAGATAGATAGATAGATAGATAGATAGATAGATAGATAGATAGATAGATAGATAGATAGATAGATAGATAGATAGATAGATAGATAGATAGATAGATAGATAGATAGATAGATAGATAGATAGATAGATAGATAGATAGATAGATAGATAGATAGATAGATAGATAGATAGATAGATAGATAGATAGATAGATAGATAGATAGATAGATAGATAGATAGATAGATAGATAGATAGATAGATAGATAGATAGATAGATAGATAGATAGATAGATAGATAGATAGATAGATAGATAGATAGATAGATAGATAGATAGATAGATAGATAGATAGATAGATAGATAGATAGATAGATAGATAGATAGATAGATAGATAGATAGATAGATAGATAGATAGATAGATAGATAGATAGATAGATAGATAGATAGATAGATAGATAGATAGATAGATAGATCAACTAGTCACTGCAGCTCTTATCTAATCTGCCTAGAAAAGGTTTTGTCAGGATGAAGTCATGCTGCTGGAATGCTCCTGCAGCCACAAGGCTAAACTGCTTTCTGTTCTGTGTTCTGGATCGTGACTGATTTCATGGCTGCAGCAAACTGACTGGGAGTCGTGTAGGCTTCTTGTCTCAGTCGGCCAGCTGGTAAGACATTAACACTTACATCCATTTGGTCTCTAAGAGAGAGCAAAGATGCTCCTGTCCGTGTTCTCTCAGCAGATCCCGGAAGTCTTCCAGGCTGTCAGACAAGCTGTGGGGTAAACGGAACATCATCCAGAACTCCTGAATCCAGTGCCTGAAAATTAGAAATAATAATAATGTGAGTGAGTGACAGTAAACAAAATGTGACATTGAATCTGGAGATACTGGACACGTCTTGCACTGACCTGATGAGGTAGCATATCTTCTGGCGCTCTGCTGGCTGATCATTGTCTAGAGCGGTTTTAAAAGTAAGCACAAGTTAAGGAGCCAACATTTTTTTTTTCAGCTTATTTCTCCAGGAGGTATACAGATACCCAGCATAGCAGGTATGTTGAGTAAACACTGAAAACATGGCTGATTTACCTGCAGGGGCTGGCACTCGTTAATACAAACTTAGCCCAGTGAACCAAAAGGCAAACACATGTGACATTTGGTCATGTGGGAGGAGGCATCTGCAACTCTGATGAGCATCACCAAATGAATCATTCTGGCATACAGGGGAAAGTGAAGAGCAAACTGCACAAAGAAAATACACAACCAATGTCTAATATAATGCAGAACCGCTGAAAGCCATTGTTTAGAGTCAGGACTCTGGAGATGTTTCAGCCGGCGATGTCTGCCTACAAAATATTCATCATCTTGTGCTTTGGATGACCTTCACTCTGCACATGTTGCTCACCAACACAGTCCCTCATTAATTTATTTAGGGTAAACAGAAACCAATCCTTTCTGAAACAAATGAATTTTTATACCCCAGGTGCTGATTTAAATTCTGCTACAGAATTTTATCAGAAGCTATGTTTTATTTTTAAAATTGAACTAAGTTCTAAGGTTAAAATCTCAGGTTAAGTTGGACCGGATGGAGATAATTCACAAATGTTAATTTTGATCGCGCCATTTTTACACCTGGAAATGCTTTGATATTTAAACTTCCAGTGAGTTATGGACATTCATTGCAGCCTCTAACAGTTTTTTTTTTCCCGAATTACCTTGTATTTGATTAAATCCATCTTCTCATAAACTAGTTTTTCTGCCCCAGCTGGGGAAAACTATACAAACAGAATGTTGCTCCCCTTCCCATGTTTTACTGTGAAATGTTAGTTATGCGTCCCACATTGCATTTTGCATGCTGGCCAAACTATAAGATGTTGATCTGATCTCATTAGGGTACTTTCTTCAATGCATTTACCGAATCCTCTGCATACCTTGAGGCAACCCCCAAACTGAACTGATGAAGTGATGACCTTGAACAATTACTTTCTTTTTACTGATCTTCCATTTTCACCACGAGTTTTGCGCTCCCAACAGCATGTGATTGGATTCTCCCATCTGAGATTTGAATCTCTGCCACTCCTCCAGAACTATCATGGACCTAGTGGTCTCTAACGAATACTCTGCTTGCCAAGCCTTGCAAGTTTATATAGACAGCCATGTCTTGGCAGGTTTGCAGTTTTGCCATTCTCATTATTTTAGAACATTTCTCTCATATTAGATCTCCAAAGCTGGAGACATTGCTTTATGCCCCAACTGTTCTTTAGATGTTTATCGCCCATTTTCTCCACAACCTTTCACTTGTCTTCTATGTTTCTTGTTCTCTGTGATGTCATCTGTCCACCGATGTTTACCAACAAATACAAACCATTAGGGGGTATATATATTTTATATTGAGATCAAATGTCATTTTTCATATTTCTATTTCCCAAAAACTTTGAAAACAATTTTATGTATTAACACCTGATAAAATACATGCTTTTATAAAGCAGTATAACTAGGCTCTCTACTGAGATTAGGTTTATCCTCCTACAAAGGGTAACAACGTCACAGGAACAGAAGGCTTGACTGCATTGGGGACAGTTAATTGACCCCCATGGATCTTCTTGATCTGAAATTGATCTAATGTGTCTTTTTTGGTCTTCTTCCCACAAATAGAGGATTAGAAAAACAATGCATGTTTGGTTCATTGTCTAAATGTAGTTGATCAACGACGGAGGCAATTTACACCTGATGCCTTAACAAGGTCCTATCATGGGGGTTTGTGACGACACAGTCTTAAATTAAAGGCATTTTCATAAAGGGACTATTTTTTTCCTTAGCGTATATTAAGGATATCGACGTATAGAATATAATAAAATATGTCGAACAGGACTAACAACTCCAAGGTAGTATTCTCCCTGCTATTGAATGGATCGGGTACAAGCCTTAGTGGAGTAGAGTTGCAGCAAGAGGGAAACTGGATGCAAAATGGAGTATAGAGAGTGAAAACAGGCCACTTGCCCATCATGCTTTACACTGACAGCAAAAAGATCTAAGCCAGGAATGAGCTTGACTGTGCGTTGCTGTTGACAACCGAGCCCGCAGCAGGTCCAGTTATTTGTTCACATGTTACAATATTCTGCTCAAAACCACTGTTAGAATCAAGAAACAAAGCACCAGTGTGTACGTCTCTGGTAGGCCGTTGAAGGATATCGATCGATGAGTTTGTCCAGCAGGTCACTGGAGGACATGAGGAGACGGTGCATGGTCAGGGTGATGTTCAGCAGGTGGTCGTTCTTCCTCACGCGACCATCTGCGTCTGAAAAGAAGAAAACATGCAGTCAGAGTAAAAACACACAGACTGTGTGAGCAGGACATGCCATTAGAGACCAATATGTAGAGTACCAGAGTCAGTCCAAGAATAAAGATGTGGCTGAATTGTGCTTGTTATGATTATGCCTGTTGCTATATTAGGTTATAAGAGAAGGAAACACATTTGTGTGATCAGATTACTATTCATACTAACGTCAAAGTAAATTTTTGACAGCCATTTTAAATTGTTGAGTCTCATTTAACTATTAATAATACTAAACAAAACTAGTTTTCATCTCTAAAATAAGCGCTTGCATTAACATTGTGTTACTGATTGCACCATCATTTCATCTTTAACACGACTGTGAACTTTGTCGTGTTCAGTCAAAACCTCAGGGTTTTTTTTTAGACGCATCTTGGTTGGCCTCATTCGTTTTATCATACATTTTGGCCTTTGTTCAGACAGCATCCTAAACCCTTAAACTTAGACAACATTTACTGTCATTTTGTATACACAGAGTGTGACAAAACGAAATTTCGTTTTGTACAGCTTTCATGACATTTCCATCTCTTAAAGTGCAGCAGTGATCAAATGTAAACATGTATGAAACGTGTGAAGAAAAAATAAATAAATCCCTGATAACTTCTGGGTTCCTTCATTTAGGGTTTTATTATGCAGAACTTGCCCTTCTGGTTTAAATCTAGTTCCTTATACACTAAACCTTTATTGGTTTACTGAAGCTCACACTGTAAAGACATTAACACCCATTTTTAAAGTTTTGTTACACACCCAAACCAGAGCACAATGATGACAGAAGAAATGCTAGAACGTTGTTTTTATTTCTTTTTTTATAACAAAAACATCATTAGTGTGTATGTGTTTGTATTCAGAGCCCTTTTAATGTCTTATAATTGAATAGAATGCATACTTTGAGAGTTCACTGAATTAACAGAGTTCAGTTGTGTCAATGTTAATCACGCGGTATATATAGTTGTTGTGTGAAGACCTCTGTGCAGGGGTCTGCAACTTTTACAACCTGAGGAGCTCAATTTTGATTTCAGTCCAGCTAATAAAACTTGTTTAGAGCCACAAACATTAATCATCTTTGTTTTTTTTTTTAATATATAACTAAGTTTTAATAAATATCTACAACGGGAATTTTGTCCTCTTTAACAACCACAGTGCCATTTCAAATTTTAGGTTTTTAAATAATGGAAAATGACTAAATACATTCTAAATGGGTTATTGAAATTAGAGTGAATCCGTTAAATAAAAGCACAGACATTTTTCCCCACTTATAAAATATCAAAAAACTTATTTCTGTTATATTTAGAGTCAATTTATTTTGGATGCAATCAGTGCATGCAGAAAATGCTAAAACATGCATAGGTTAGAATATCTACATTTAAAATTTTAACTGGCTCTTTATCAACTTTAGCCAAAGCGATGAATAGCCACTGCCAAGTGTCTTAAGATACACTTGCGGCTCCGGAGTCACAGGTTGCAGAGCCCTGCATTCTTGTTAGAGAAGTTTAGCGAACAAACAGTAAGAAGAAGACCAAAGAACACAGCAGACATAAAGTTGTGGGGAAGTTAAAGCATCCAGCTTTGTGAAGTCAATAATCAGAAAACTGAGTTAGTGCTGCATAATTTTAAATCCTTGAAACACATCTGTCCAACTAATTTGAGACCATTAATATAGAAGCAGTAAAGAGGCTTGTGGTCACTGTTGATCTGGTGAAAAGATTCATGACAAAGGAAAACAAGTAGACAGGAAAAACATACTTGCACTTCACATGTGAAGTCTTTATGGCAGACTAGCAAGAAGAAATAAGCTGTTAAAAGAAAGCAGCAAGATGCTGATTTTAAAGTTTGCTACCAACCATGTAATGGATAGAGAAAATGTGAATAGGCTCGAGTTACAGGAGGTAAAAACTGAACTATTTGGCCTACATACGGTACAAATTGCAACTTGTGGTGGAAAACTAACCCTGCTCCTTCCTTGAAGACACCAGCCTTACAGTGAAACACAGCAGTGGTAAAATCGGGTTCTGCAAAGGCACAGGGGAACAGGTTTGGGTTGATTGGAAGACGGTTGCAGCTAAATAAAGGACAGTCCTTGTAAAGTTTACATGTGCGTTTAGCCAAAACTTTATTCTTCTATGGAGGGATCATGTACTGTTGGTGGGCAATTTTTTAAAAGAAATTGATCACAAAACTCATGACTATCTCAGATGTATTAAAATTATCAGAAGTCTTTCAATAGTTTAGTATCATCTTAAGTTCAAATGAAATCATGTTTTTTTAGTCAAAACATTTAACAGGAACATTAAGTAGCTTTCTAATCTGCATGTTTGTGTGAGAACAAAAAAGATTTACAAAACGTTGCATGGGTAGAACATCATGAGAAAGAAAGACATTTCTCCCATTGGAAACATTTCTACCCAGTTAACGAAACGGGGTAAAACAATTTGTGCACATGCTTTAGTCATACTATCCACAGACCATGCAGTGGAAGATTTACCTTTTCCTCTGATTGTGTGAACCAGTGATGCTTGCCTGTCTCACTACCTTTTTCACTTCCTCCTTCCTTGCAAGAGCAGAACTTCCTCCCTTTGTGACCAGACCACCTTCCTTTATTCTAGTTGTCTGCGTACTACAGCTGACATCTCGAGACCCCTTTTTTTCCCCAACCACTATATAGTGTATGTGTGCAAAACATGATGTGACATTAAAACATTTTCACTTCCCACTTACAGGAGAAAACAACACATCTTATGCAAATATTCTAACCACTAAAACCGGGAATTTGAGATTAACCATGAAGAAACCTTTGCTTACCAAACACCCATTTATATACTGTGGGATTTTTTTTCACCCTACTTGTCTAAATCTTTCTCCTTTAAAGTCTGTAAAAACAGAAAATTTAGACAACAAGCGCACAGTAAATGAAAAGCTTTGCCGCAACCTTGGGGCCATCAAGGCCATCAGACATCTGAGGGGGCCACATTTAAACCATATTACCTTGAAAATAGCCCAGACACCATGACAACATGCTTTCTTATCTTTTTTGTCGGTAAGCAACTAACCACTCCTGCTGGAAGTGGCTAATCTTGTCTGCCTTATCCTACATCGGCTATGCTTCTGCTTACAGCATAGAGCTCCTGCCTTCTAAACAAAGCAAAGGATGAACTTATCTGTGAAGTTATTGAGAAAGTAAGAGTGTAATTAAATGAATTCTCATTTTCAAAATGATGTAACTAATGAAACAACAGTGATGCATTCAAGGTACTGGATTTCTGTGATGTTCTACATAGGATCTGTGCAAACAAAATTATGAGAAGCATTTTGTTTTTGTTTTTATATGTGTATCAATTCACACGGACAAAGTAGTTAAAATCAGCTGCAGAGTTGAATCTCCAACAGGATGTCATGACTATCTGGTAAACAATTGCTTCACAGCATTCCAACCACTAACACTCCCTGTGCAGGGTTAATTGCAGGAGGAAATCCTTTCTGGACCGTCTGCTATTGACGGGAAAATTAGGAAAGCTGCCGCCCAGCGCGCTGGATCCACGTGATGCTGGCTGGTGATAAACACTTCAGAGTGCACGCTTTGACTGGCCTGCTTTTAAGGTTATCTTAAACATTCATCAGCCACTTTAAACCTGCACATTTGCACTTTTCCTTGTTTTGAAAGAGGCTATCAGATGAGATGATCCCTTTGTTTTGTTTTTGGTTCAAGTAAGATGCAGGAAAAAAGGACTTCTCCCTGTGCTCTGGACAGTCAATAACACTAATCATATATCTGGTGTTAAAAAAAAGGTGAATGGCTTTTATTAGCTTCAATTATTAAAAGAAAAGATTAAGTACAAAGTAAGCAATACATCAACAATTAAATAGTTGCTTTACTCTGTTTTGCCATGAATAAATAAATCAAATGTATAAAATAAATATTATATAAATGCATAAAACTTGTCATTTCATTTCATTTAGTCACAATCAAGTATCTCACCTAATATAATAGTAAAACCGCAAGGTGTATTAACTAAGTGGAAAAAATTTATCTATTTTAATTTAAGGTTTAGTAAAATTAGCCTCTTTACTACTATTATAGTAATAAACATCTCCTTAGAGTTTTTTGAATAGGTTTTTTGAATAAGGTTTCTCCTGGTGATGAGATCCAAGTTTTGAAAGTTTGAAGGTCTCCTCACCATCACCCTGATCTTTATTTCCCTTCTATTGTTTTTTTAAGTAAATTTTGCTTACAAAACACTAAAGATAGATTGCATCTCAAAGAGAGTATAAACATAGAAACACAATAAGAATAAAATAGCTCTCTTACATCCAATGAGAAAAAACCCATGTTAGTAAATTACAGTAGGAATAGTTTTTGGTCAATTGTTTAAAAATGACCAAATAAATCGAAACAACAGATGGGAGACCGAAATTTTAATTCAGTGCCAGAAATGCACCTGCATTTATCCATAGATTTGATGAATTTCTTGGACAGGAAAATCTATTATTATTTTTAAATACATGACTTGTCAACTAATACTCAGAGCCATAAAGGACTAATAAAGGTATTTATGGTGGCTGATTAGTGTATCTTTAACAATTAGTAAACAAAGGTTTGAGGTAACTCAATAACAATTAGAAAACATTTTAGCCAAAAATCATAATATATATATATATATATATATATATATTTATTTATATATACACACACATTTATAAGATGTTTCGATTCCAAGTGTAAACAACTTTCTTGTGAAAGCAAAACAGGCCTAAGGTTGGTTTTCATACATTTCACATCTGATAGCTACAGCACACAAACATTCTCACATCTTGTCTTCAAAATAAAAACAGAGCCGTATATTATGTGCAACTCAGTTAGCGGAATGGTGTGGGGTCAGAAGAGAGTGATGATGTCAGCAATTGATCCACACCTCCCAGCGCTCCTGCATTTCAAAGGTTGGTAGGCATCTGAAGGCTACAGTTCAGGGAGCTGACCTTTCAGCTTGACCAAGTTTGAAGCCGTTTCAATGGTAATCTTTTCAACTGCCCTTATGTGTGCTATCACGTTTGAAAAAAAAAAAAGAAAGGTGGCAGGACTTGTAGACCAAGGGGGGTTCGTGTGTGATGTTAGCTGAGGAAACAAATTTGCCATTTTATCCAGAGAAGCCATTCAGGAAAAAAAAAAACACTCATAGCACACAGCACAAATAGATTACATCCTGTCCATGCACACAAACATTTCTTTTTTAAATAAAAGCAGTGACATTCCCTTTAGAATATTACATGTTACTAGTCTATAAGCCTCTTTAGACGCCTTAATGATAAATTCTGTTTTGCTCGTGGACCTGATGAGAGGCAGGCTGTCATTAGAGCCCACTTCTTCTTTTTCTGCAGATAAATGCAGTTATGAAATGTCACTTAATGTGCAGCCCATCATAACACGTCTCCACTGCTTTTGCTGCATTTGCGTAACCAGGCAACGGCCATCTGAAAGCTGTCTCTTTAGAGACACAATCACCACAACTCTGAGAGCACTCCAGACAACTTGATTGATGCAGCGATCTTTGACTGATCCAACGGCAGCCTACTGTACGCAATGACTGTTGTCCATTTTTTGGTACTGTACACATTCTTTACAGCCATGTGCTACATGTAGCCATAATTGGTTTCATTTCCAACTTACAAGCTGGAGCCTATCTTCAACAGTCTTCAGACAAGAAGTAGAATAGACAGGTAACCAGTCCGTCGCAGGGATTTAAGACCCCTTCTCTTATAAATGCTGCTAAATATCTTGCTATAAATACAAATATAAACATCATCATTAAAATATTATTCCCCTAATTATATTTCTGTATGTGGTTGTGATTGATCAAGCTTTTAAAATAAGTTGTAAGAAAAACGAGATATAAGGTGCTAAAGGAACATTTAACATATAAAAATGATTAAATTATGCAGATTCATATCTAAAACGAACCTGGAGTATGTTAGTTTGTATAAAATTCTCTTAGTTTCCAATACCAAATGTTTCTTTCGTTTTGTAATCCTAATCCAAAAGCTGTTTTTTTTTTGTCAACATTAAATCTAGCTAATTTGTTTATGACTCTTTCTCATGTTGAAAATGGTTTTATAAAGGTTATATATTATGAAATGTGAAAAGGCCCATTAAAGAAGAGTGATGATATAGTAAAGCCAGCAATATTTTAAAGCAATCTGCCATTAAAAATCAGACGAGCGTCTCTTAAGTGGTGATAGAAAAATAGCTCAGTGTTTATTTACTTTTTTTTCTTTTTCAATAACTAACAGGAGATTGTTATTACAGATATCAACCCCTGTTCATAATTGCTGATGAGCTTTTTGGATGGGTCCACTGGTAATTAACGATTTCTTTTCAGTGATGAGGTTAAGAGTTTTGGAGTTAGAAGGCCTTCCTGTTATTATCCTAACCTATGGTGCCAAATTTAAACCAGGATCCTGTCTACTTTAAAACGTTCATATTAAATTCAGCCAGAAACCTTATGTCAAATACCACATAAGTTAAAAAAAATAACAGCTATATAAATAATTATGGCCTCAACTGTAAATAATTGAAAAGAACAGATTTTCTTTAAGGTTTTCAAATACTTGCATTTAAGGCCATTCAGTATATGACCTGTTCAGTAAGGCAGAACAAAAAGACAGTTATATTATAGCTTCTACTGTTTTGTTTTTGTTATGTTAAGCACTCTGACCAATGGTCTTATTACCAAAGTTTATAGTTTAATACTGGTTTTGCTTTTCAGTTACCAAAAATAGAATATTTGCAGTTATTTTTACTCTACTTTGTAGATATGCCCTAATTGTGCAAGCTTGTTGCACCTCCTTTTAAGGATGAACCCAATCAATCCCAATCATTTTTATTAAAAATGTAAAGTTGGCTGAAATAGTGTAGTGAAACCAGCAAAACATTGTAGATGAATTGATCTATGACGGTATATAAAAATATCTTGTGCAGACAACATCATACCGATGAAAAGTTAGACATAAGGCTCCCAAGACTGTACAAAATAGAAGTGAAATACAAGCTACACCAGATGCATTTATAAGCAATTACTTTAAAACAATGGACATTTCACAATTATTTTGGCCACATTGAAAACAAATCTTTCCATAATCCAGCAGCCCAACTCTGACTCAAATACAACCACTGGACTATACTTAAATCAGGTTCAAACAAATACCACCAACAATGAAAGTCAACGTGAATCAACACCAGCAAATGAAAATCTGAACAATTGCTTAAGCTTTGGGTTTTAATAGATCCTAAATCAAGTCATCGACAATCACAAAACCTGTAGACACTCCCAATGCTAGCATACAAAGGTTCTAGTTGGGTGTAGCTAAAGGTCCACCTAACTGCTGGGGAAATGTTCACCTTTCCTTATGGGTGTGCAGTCTGAATGGCAAAAAACACAGAAACACCTCATGAAAAACAAATCAAAATGCAGGAAATCATTTCTGAAAAAGGAAGCCAGAATAAAGGACATCGCCACATCCCGACACAGTTAAGTTTGTCCACCTTTTTAAAGCAGCAAGCATGCCTTATTGGCAGTAAATGTAAATAAGAATACGGGAAACCATTAAGGATAATACTGAGAGAGATATGGGTACTTTTTTTTTTTTTTTCCTTTCAAACAACTTATATTTCCCAAACCTGAAAGATCAAAAATTTTTCACATAATATTGTTTTCAACTTCACTTCTGAGTAAAAATACAAGGTTAGAAAAGAAAAACTCTTAAAAGAACAACAACAAATTAACCACAGAAAATCAACCGCAAGCAAGATAACGCAATATTAGCTTCAACTCTTAAAGATCTTTAACTATCATCATAATCATAATGATATTTGTTCAATCATTCTAAGGTAGGGTCTTAAATTGTAAAACAAAAACCACTAGCATGAACTTACCAAACAATTCCAGACAGGCCTGAATCAGTTCTTCCCAGCTTGCCCCTTTGGCGACATGTCCCAGAGACATTATTGATTTGCTTGGAGTAACCTGGGTTTGCATGGGTTTGTAGAACTTGCGAGTTCGACCCGGTGGAGAAACTCTAGATCTGCTAAGCGTACATCCTGAAGTCAGCCTCCTTGGGAAAAAGAAAGACATTTTTTTTAAAAATAGGTGCAACAAGCGTTTTCCTTTAAGTTTCTCCTGTTATTTTAGATAAAACATAAATGGATTAAAAAATGAATTAAAAACCTTATGAAAGAGTTAGTACGCGTTAAATGTTTGCAAAAAATATATGCAGTCTAAATTATTATATGCAAAATGTTCAATTGAAAAACAATTGAAAAATGTTGGGGGTGTCTAAAATAGATAAGAACAAATAGAAATGTGGCTGCTATTTGGTTTTGCACATGTTTTCTTCCATCATAGAACACATAAATGTGAATAAACATGATGATTCTGGATCATAATAAGCATTTTTCCAAAGACTCCCACCCTTACCATATATGGACACTGACATCACCAGGTGAAGCATGTTGCTTCACCTGGTGATATATATATATATATATATATATATATATATATATATATATATATATATATATATATATATATATATATATATATATATATATATATATATATATATATATATATCTGTTGATGAGTGGAGGCTGTTATACAGTCCAAACTGGTTATTTCATTTGCATCTTCTTATCTGAGGATTTTAAATGTTAAACTCCTAATCAGCATTTCTGCTCGTATTTTTTTATAACCTCAAAAGCGAATAAAAAATTACATGTTTGTGCTTTAAAGTTTAAATTTGACGGAGAAATCAGGACACTGAGACATGCACGGACCATGTCACATTGGAGCGCGTAACGATTTTCCAAATATTGCTTCTCTGGTTTGCTTCTGATTTTTCTTATTCCATTTCCTTCTTTTTAAATTTCACTATCACCAATGGAAAGCTGGCCTTCAGTTTGGCTTCAAATCTAGAATGACCAGTAATAATGAAATAAGTTAAGCCAGACATTAGAGACTGACGTATCTGAGCGTTTTGTTGTGCGTAAATACGCGGTGAAGAGATACATCCTTTTTTGTTTTTGTTTTGCAATTTCTAAAAAAAAATATATATATATTCAAACTTCAAAAAAAAAAAAGAGTCTGAGATTAAAAACCTTTAATCCAAACAGGTGGTGTAACATATCTTCAGGAACCGTCAAACTAAATGTGGTAGCGATAGTAGGAAATTGAACTTACACATCGTCTTTTCCCTTGTCGTCTGCTGTTATGCTTTCGTTTTGCTTCTCCTTTGACTGACATCCCATGGCGAGGTACTGGGCGACGAGCGGCTCCACTAGGCTGTCCATCTGCGTCCTCCTCGGCGGGAGCATTTCATCGCTCAGCTCGGTCTGGCTCGGTGCGCCACCGCGCTCTCAGCAGCATTGTGCTGACTCGTCAATGAACATTACACAATTAAAGATTCACCCAGGCAGTCTGTCACAGAGTGGGCGGCCGCACTGCTGTCGGGTGTCACTCTCACACTTCATACTGGTCTCTTTCTCTCTCTCTGTCTCCTGGTTATTTTCCCCATGAGTCATGCTTCAACAGGTATGTCACATTTTTTTACAAGTTAAGACAAGCGACCGGCTGACGATACAACAAAACATAGACTTATATTGTGTTACTGTTCTGGAAGATTTGGAGGGTCTGATTCACTGGCGGTTCTAGACAGGGGCCAAGACTAAAAACACATTTGTTTAGGATAACCTTCGACTGTTCTAATTAAACAGTTCAACTGAAACATCATTAGTTCAACTTTTTTTATTTTCTTTAGTCCAACTGTTTTAATGTTTTTTTTTTGTTGTTTCTGCATTTTTATTTGATTTTATTTATTTATTTATTTATTCCTACTTGTTTTTATTCTGTTTTATTTTCCTATATTTTAATCATGTAAAGCACTTTGCATTGTCTTTGTACTGAATTGTGCTATACAGGTGCTGGTCATAAAATTAGAATATCATGAAAAAGTAGATTGATTTCAGTAATTCCATTTAAAAAGTGAAACTTGTATATTATATTCATACATTACATACAAACTCATATATTTCAGATGTTTATTTTGTTTAATTTTGATGATTACAAATGACAACAAATGAAAATCTCAAATTCATCATATCAGAAAATTAGAATATTACTGAAGACCAATAAAAACAAAGGATTTATAGAAATGTTGGCCAACTGAAAAGTATGAACATGAAAAGTATGAGCATGTACAGCACTCAGTATTTAGTTGGGCCTCCTTTGGCCTGTATTACTGCAGCAATGCGGCGTGGCATGGAGTCGATCAGTCTGTGGCACTGCTCAGGTGTTATGATAGCCCAGGTTGCTCTAATAGTGGCTTTTAGCTCTTCTGAATTGTTGGGTCTGGTGTATTGCATCTTCTTCTTCACAATACCCCATAGATTTTCTATGGGGTTAAGGTCAGGAGAGTTTGCTGGCCAATTAAGAACAGGGATACCATGGTCCTTCAACCAGGTACTGGTAGCTTTGGCACTGTGTGCAGGTGCCAAGTCCTGTTGGAAAATGAAATCTGCATCTCCAAAAAGTTGGTCAGCTGCAGGAAGCATGAAGTGCTCTAAAACTTCCTGGTATGTGGCTGCGTTGACCCTGGACCTCAGAAAACACAATGGACCAACACCAGCAGATGACATGGCACCCCAAACCATCACTGACTGTGGAAACTTTACACTGGACTTCAAGCAACGTGGATGAAGTGCCTCTCTTCTTTTCCTCCAGACTCTGGGACCTTGATTTCCAAAGGAAATGCAAAATTTACTTTCATCAGAGAACATGACTTTGGACCACTCACCAGCAGTCCAGTCCTGTTTCTCTTTAGCCCAGGCAAGACGCTTCTGACGCTGTCTGTGGTTCAAGAGTGGCTTGACACAAGGAATGCGACAGCAGAAACCCATGTCTTTCATACGTCTGTGTGTGGTGGTTCTTGAAGCACTCACTCCAGCTGCAGTCCTCTCTTTGTGAATCTCCCCCACATTTTTGAATGGGTTTTGTTTCACAATCCTCTCCAGGGTGCGGTTATCTCTCTTGCTTGTACACTTTTTTCGACCACATCTTTTCCTTCCCTTCGCCTCTCTATTAATGTGCTTGGACACTGAGCTCTGTGAACAGCCAGCCTCTTTAGCGATGACCTTTTGTGTCTTGCCCTCCTTGTGCAAGGTGTCGATGGTCGTCTTTTGGACAACTGTCAAGTCAGCAGTCTTCCCCATGATTGTGTAGCCTATAGAACTAGACTGAAAGACCATTTAAAGGCTTTTGCAGGTGGTTTGAGTTAATTAGCTGATTAGAGTGTGGCACCAGGGGCCATCAATTTTGAACCTTTTCACAATATTCTAATTTTCTGATATGATGAATTTGAGATTTTCATTTGTTGTCATTTGTAATCATCAAAATTAAACAAAATAAACATCTGAAATATATGAGTTTGTATGTAATGTATGAATATAATATACAAGTTTCACTTTTTAAATGGAATTACTGAAATCAATCTACTTTTTCATGATATTCTAATTTTATGACCAGCACCTGTACAAATAAATGTGTCTTGCCTTGCCTTGCCTTGACAGGGACCAGTGCCCCTGTAGATCCAGTGTTGCCAACTCCTCAGTAAGGAAAGTAGCTATTATCAGTGCTTTTTTTTTCATAACTTTAAATTGCATACAGATTGAACACAATAGCAATACAAATATAGTCCATACATACAAGAGTGTTTTGGGGTCTCTGAGAAAAAACACTAAAACAGACACCTTTGCAGACTTGTATCTGTGTCCAAATAAAAAAATCACCGAAAGGGAGAACATGGAATCTAACATTTACCAACTGAAAAATAATGTGGGAATAGCTGGAAGGGAGGATGAAGAGACTGATTTTTCTCTTTGCAGTCAGCTATCCAGTTATGTTTGAAAAGGTGCTTACAGATGTGTCGCTTTCTGAATGACAGGCCTACATGGATTTATGTTTACATTCAGGAATATAGACTGGGGGTGGACTTGCTCTTCCAAGCTGCAGATGCTATTGGCTGTGCTATAAGTCGCTGAATGACGTCATTGCCTAATTTGCATAGTTTTTTTTTTTTTTTCAACTTTTATTTTTACTTTTTCTTTTTTCCCTTTTGTGCTTGCCTGTTCACAAAAAGATACGGCAGGTTCAGCAACTGAGGGAGCTGACTTCAGCGTGATCAACCTGCGCCATCAATCCCGGCGCATGCGAGGTTCATTTGCATTCTGGACGCTGAGGGTAACAGGCTGTGGCTCTGGGGGAGGCGCCCCACGGCAGACACTAGCTAGATTTGTTGCTAGTCGCTTTTTTGAAAAAGTGTCGCTGGAGGGGTCTGAAAAGTGGCTAAATATAGCGACAAAGTCGATGAGTTGGCAACACTGTGTAGATCATGTCCTCCTGGCCCCTGTACTAGAGACATAATACTAAGAGAAATTCTAATGATGATCTCCTTGCAGAGAGTAAATTGTTTTTCTCCCCACATTGGAGTTCTGCTAGGCTGCACAGTGATGCATTGGGTGGCACTATTGCCCTGCAGCGAGAAGGTTTAGGGTTTGGATTCCCAGCCTGGGGTCTTTCTGCATGGAGTTTGCAGGTTCTCCTTGAACATGCATGGGTTCTCTCCAGGTACTCCAGCTTCCTCCAACAGCCCCAAAAAAGCATGACTGTTAGCATAATTGGCTCTATATTCTCCTTAGGTGTGTGTTTGTGTGAATGGTTGTTTGTCTCTGCGATGGACTGGCGACCTGTCCAGGGTTTACCCTGCCTCTCGTCCATTGACAGCTGGAAATAGGCACCTTTTGCAACCCCAGCTGGGATAGAGCGTGACGGAAAATTGATGGATGGAGTTCTGCTACATGTGAACACTTCGACCATGTAATCTATGTAATTTTCTCTTTGCAAAAAGTTAAAGTTCTATAAAGGTAGATGGATATTTTTTTATTTTACAGTCTTGTCTCAAATACTCCTGTAGTTTGGCCTTTAACTGGACCATATTTTTTTGTTTTCTTCTATTTAAACTATTCCTTTGTGACTGTGGGTGTTAAGTTTATGATCAAACTTCTTGTGAAAGATGATCCTTTTCCTTAGATTCTCCGATTTCTAGCCAAGCTCAAACTCTCACTAAACAGCAGACTCCAATGACCCACGATTGAAGGATGGATCATTCATCTGCATCTGACTTGGTGTGATCCAGCATTGGAACCATTAGCTCTCCAACAACAGGTCTTGTGAAAGCAACTAAAACTTACAAAGACTCCTGATAGGTGTTGAAATGTTCAGAGAAAAACTTAGCAAAGGTTTGGATGCCTCTGATTGAATCATGTTTCTGGGTTCTGATAATCTGGATGACTGAGAATTTGCACAGACAACTTTTGAACGATGAAGGTTTTCTCCATATGTTAATGGAATAGAGTAGGCACTTTTCCTCACCAGATGAATTTTAAATTAGTTATGGGTCTGTAATTATTAAATAAACTTGTTTACATACACCTCTATGCATGTCTCTGGTTTACTGGGATTCAAAGCTTTTTTAAATCTGCAGCTTTCACTATGATTTATTTATGCAACAGCAAGGACTGACTTTCTCCTTCAGAATTCCTAAACCAAGCATGTTTAGCAACTTCTGGGTGTAAATAGAACACACCTTAAATGTAGGTGCTATTGGGCCTTACACATGTGAACAGGGAGGGGGAGGGTTTGTGTACTTTGTCCAAAACAGGGCAGTAGAACTCCAGTCCTCATGTTTTTCAATTTTGATATATGTCTTTTGTACAACAGATCTAAGGCAAGTAGTTGTTTTATCTCCTCAGCTTGCACGCAAGTAGATCAGCATAGGGTCTAGCTTATGGCCTAATTATTTGATTTAGTTGCACTGAAGCTGATGCCCATCAAAAAGCTGCACAGCTGAGAACTATGGTTTGAGAACAATTGAATTTAGTATGTAGTAGCAACTGGTCACAACACAAAATTTCAAGGCACTTTAAAGAGTCAATTTATTCAAATCAGACAGTTTACTATCTTGATTACATCAAGTAGATGACTTTGAAGAATAGAGACATCCTGGATGAGCACAGTGATATACTATAGACATAGAATGGGACAAAACTGAATGCTGGTTCCAGATTAAAGGTACTTGATAACTAAGACATATGCCCCCCATTCTACTTTTAGAAATTCTAGAAACTATAACTAAACCTCCAATTTGGGGGCAAATTGATGCTAGGAACAAACTATAATGAAATAAACACTAATCTAAACCTTTCTATCTATAATGTGGGCCTTTAATTGGTTTTCTGCAGGATGAACTGATATTAATAAATCTTTTATTTATCCCCAATCAGCTTTGCTTTTCGTAGTAAAAATCATTCCCACAGCATGATGCAGCCAACAAGGTGGCTGCATCATTCTGGTCTCAAGGTGGTGTTTTCTAGGTGATGTGCTGAGCATTTTCCAATATTTTTTTGCAGATTGTGGAGTTTACTTTGAATAAGCTCCTTTCATTTGGGAAAAAAGTAAGGTATAGTAGAGCAAAACTGCAAAAGCACAAGAACAATCAGGACTGCTCTTGCATATTTAGATAAATACTTCTGTCAGAAGTTCATTTTTCTTTGATGTTTTGGAGATATTATAAAATAAATGATGAGTGTAAAAGGGATGTGCATGCATGTGTATTTATTTTGTAGTATTCATGAAAGAATCAAAACAATTAAAACAAAAGGAACGTTTTCTTTTTTTTAATAGGTGTTTAAAATAGCTGAAGTTTTTTTTTTGTAAGATTTGTGTTTGCATAAGTTGTGTCAGCCCCACCTGTGAAATCAGCTTCCCACCCATGTCTGAGAGTTGAGATATAAACATGTTCTGGAAAATTCGTGTAATGTGATTTCTTCTTTGGTTTACACAAACTTTATATTTGTTCAGTCGGAACATCAGGAAAGGGTGGATCTTCCTCCAAGATAAAAGGAAGAAGCTGCAGGTTCCGTTTTTGCACGTGCAACACTTATCAAATTTTAGACGCTCGCAGAGCTTTTCTGCTGGAATGTTTTACAGCTGTTTAAGAGTCAAGATCAGTTTATTCTTTTTACATTATGCTGCAGTTCATAATGACATTACTGGCAAAAAAAATTATTAAAATGTGTGTGGAATTTTAAGCTTAAGCACTGTTTACATTCTAAACCTAACCATATAAAATTGCCTTCATTTCTGAAATAGGTTTCACATATTTGAATACTTTGATATTGATTCCTGTTTGTTTCCTGAGTTTATGAGACATTTTGCTCTTTGAAACAGCACAGTTTCCATTTTATATCGTTTGCAATTTAAAAGTGGCTTTATTAGAAAAAAAATAGATATATATCTTCTCATGTAAACCTTTAAACAGTTTTCTAAGAAGGAATAATATTACAGAAAAAAGAGCACAGCTGCACAATGTTAAAAAGGCAAAATAAAAATGACAGATCTGGGCACCTACACCATCCTGCCTTTGATCCATTGTCTCCATACTTGCTGTTTTCAGATGACCACCAGCCTGAGCTCATGTTTTCCCTGGAAAGGTGAAGTCACATTTAGAGCGGTCTGCCTTTGATAAGATTTGATATCTCTACCTTGTTCCTGTGTCACTAGTGTTTGCAGCAATACTTTAAACCTGAACCCAAGTGGCTTTAATTTCATTTTTCATGTTGGTTTGTTTTTTGCTCTTTGATATGAAGCTTCAAAGAACAATATTACCAAAATGTTTTATGATAGAGGGCAATTGTGAAAAAAACACTCTATTTTATTATGTGTTTACACCACAAACCCCTGTTGCGTCTCCTACAGATCAACAGCAAAGAAAACTCTAACAAGCTCCTTGAAATGAAAGTCCTGTTTATTATTGTTCTACCTCACACAGTTTGCAAGTTACTCTGCAACACATGTTATACAGGATGCTCTGCATTGTTATATAGATTCATTTTAACATTTGGATACCAAAAAAAAAAAAAAAAAAAAAAATCATCTGCATTTTATTTACTAAACTACATTTTGATGTTAGTTATAATTTAATTCACCTCTTATTTTTTGGATAGATACAATCAAGGCCCTTGAACTAACTGCAAAAGTACTATACTTGAAGTAAGGTCACCCCCTTGTGGAGAAAGTAAAGTTTTAGTTGCACCTTCACCAAAATATTCATGTTTTGAAAAACCAAAATCATAATCATCAAAAAGAATAATAAACAATATTACCTTTATGGTTAACTGGAGTTAGGAATATGTGTCCTAGGCTGTTGTGGCCCCTAACCACAATAGCTTTTAATACAAGCATACTTGATTAACAGTTCAATATGTCATATTAGTACTCTGTCAAAATAAAATATTCCAAAAAAGTGTTGGAAATTTCTAAAACTTATAAAGATGGTATTATTTTAGGAATATTCATCCACACAAGAGATTCAGGTTGTTGTTGTATGTTGAGGGTATAATAATATATGCAGTTCATGGTGTGATATATTACAAATAGTTTATTTTTCCTCCTTTTTTAAATATATATTTACTGTAATATTTTTGTTACAATGTTGACTCATTGAAATAAAGGTTGAAACATTTATTTCTTAATATATTTCCATAAATCTACTAAGTTGTATAAACGGTTAACAACTTATATAATTATTAACTTGTGGGCTTTTTGGCTTTCTAAAGTGGTGTGGAGAGAATTATCGAAATAAATATATAATTATCATAAATTACAGATTTTTTTAAATTGAATACTAATTTAATAATTTAAGATCTAACTACTATTGGCCAAATAAAGTATTTATGAATACTTTATTTTACTTTTTGGTATGCTTATTATATTCTTCTTTTATTCACATATATAGGCTAAATATTCATTGAAGGTGTGTAAGCCTACTTACGGAAAAGGATTTGGGCCACTGGGGAAAAAAAAAAAAAAGTTAACTGATTTTTAAATATCATTTCAGTTTAATATAGGCAACAAGTCAGAATTCTGACTTTAATCTCAGAATTCTGATTTTTTTTCAGAATTCTGACTTTAATCTCAGAATTCAGATTTTTTTTCAGAATTCTGACTTTTTTCTGAGAATTTTGACTGAATTCTGACCGCTAACAAACATGTTAGCATCAAGCTGTAGCCATGTCTGTTTTAGAGACTAGCTCTCTTGTTTTAATGACCTTCTGCTTCTCCAGTAATGAAATAGCATCACTGGGGACCCCTCAGGCACGTAAAAATTTGCCTAATTTCGTCATTTTTTACTAATGTGTTACTGGTGCTCCCAAACAACTCACATCTTTTTCAACGAAGCTGAGTGCTCCCACCTATCTTCCTTCATGGTGCCCATCTACATTAAGATCCAAAATTCTGAGATTAAAGTCAGAATTCTGAGAAAAAAGTCAGAAATCTGAGAAAAATGTTAGAATTCTGAGAAAAAAAGTCAGAATTCTGAGATCAAAGCCAGAATTCTGAGATTAAAATCAGAATTCTGAGAAAAAAGTCAGAATTTTGAGAAGAAAGAATTCTGAGAAGAAAGTCAGAATTCTGATATTAAAGTCAGAATTCTGAGATTTATAGTCAGAATTAAGAGAAAAAAGTCAGAATTCTGAGAGAAAAGTAAAAATTCATAGAAAAATGTCAGAATTCTGAGATTAAAGCCAGAATTTTGAGAAAAAAGGTCAGAATTCTGAGATTAAAATGAGAATTCTGAGAAAAAAAGTCAGAATTCTGAGATTAAAGTCAGAATTCTGATTTTTTTCTCATATTATACTAAAATAAAATGTAAAAATCAGTTAACTTTTTTGCTTTTTCAGAGGCCCTAATCCTCTTCCGTACCTACTCTTTAGTTTTTGGAGTATAATTTCCAACTCCCATTTCCGGATTATGGAACTAGTGTAAAACACTCAACATTGAAAACAGATAAATCACTATGTCTTCATGAATTATATTGAAAAATAATTAGTAGAATATGTCAAACATTTCACAAAATTTTAATTTCTTGAGTTTTTTTTATTTTTAGCGTCTTAATCCTTTTTTTCTTACGTTTTTCAAAGATAGTAGAAATTCCGAGTGTACTTGAACGCCATATCCCACTCAGCAGTTTAGCGCGCTCTGACCGCGTGATGTTTGACAAACCGTTAGCATAGTTTAGGAATAATTTGTCTCTTCTGCACACGCGCCGTGTTGACATTTCTGATCAAATAATCAGCCTGGGGCGGTTTCAAAATGGTTCCAGAAGACGTCCAGTTCATGGCTCTTCTGAAAGGAAAACGCATCAAACTGATTCTGAAAAATGCCTCATACTTTGGCATTGTTCAGGGAATCAATTCAAACAAGACATTGGTTTTGGCTGACGGTGAGCGAATACTGCAGTGTCACAAATCCACATTTCCTCTGTTAATTACCCCGTTAGCTCACTTTCATGGTATTTTTCCAGTTAGTGACAGCAGTGGATGCAGATATTCAGGAACTATGCTTTTCTTTGGACGCGAGGTTCTGAATGGTGAGCGCCTTCATAAAAACTAGTCAGAAAGTAGAGAAAGTGTCATTTTGCCATCAGTAACCTTTGTTTTCTTTTATTAAATCCAAGTTGAATTGGAAAGCAAAGAAAAGGACGACAGGTAAGTAAGCGAATATCACACAGCTCAATAAATTAATGTACAAATTAAAAGAGATTTATAGTAATTTAGTTCAGAAAGTGAAACTCCGGAATACATTTAGAACTCTGATTTTCCCTTAGATCATAGGTCTTCAACAGGGGGTCCACGGAGGTACTGCATCATTTGTTTTTGTTTTTTTAATAGTACCCCCTGCAATTTTTTTCCACTAATTGAATTGTCTTTAAATCCACATTGACATGAATTCAACACACTGTAGTAAGCCGATAAATGGAGACAGAAGATGTCTTGTCTTCAATGCATCACAGGAGCTCTTTCAAGCTGGGCACAGTTTCATTCACAACACCTGTCCCATCAACCAGGAATCAGAATCAGAAATACTTGTTGCATTGCTCCACATGTAATAGAGTGAATATAGGACCAGTTTGACATATAACACAATTTCATACAATATATATAATTAGGGGGTCCCCGCTCCATCTCGCCATCAGTTTAGGATTCTTGGCCTGGAAAACTTTGAAGACCCCTGTCTTAGATTGTTGTGTCTCATGGATAATAATAATAATAAACTGAAATTAAATGTTAATTAGAGCAATAAAACTATTCCAAAAATGTATTTTTATGACCTTAACAAAAATGGTTAACCAGAAAGTGTCAAAAAGTCAACAGCATCTGTCATTAGGAGATTAGGGCACAGGGGACTAAAAAAAGTGGGTTGTTTAAAACAGCTGTTACCCCAAATAATAATACAGTGTTTCAGACTGGTGATCCCTAAAAAATAAATGTATTTTTCTCTAAATACATTTGTAAATCACCCTGAGGTAATTAGATTAATTTAGATGCATGTGGTTTTAAAAATATATTTATTTGTATAATTATTAATGTATATTTGATTGGATTTTTGGTTAATTTTTTGTTTTATAGTTTAATGATATATTTGACATTTGGATCATGTATTGGATAAATTAGTATATGTTACATTCATTTAATTCATTAGTATTTTGGCCCTCCACATGCCTCATGGATCCTATCATGATGATTTTTAAAACCATCTCAACCCCATTTTGGGGGGTCCTACCTCTCACTTTGGGAACCCCTGGGTTGGAGTTCTGCATCCAAGCTGATTTTGTGGTGAAGTGACTGAGTAGTGCAAAGAAATGTTGCCAAGCAACAGGGATAGCCACAACCTTGAGCAGATTTTGAAGCAAAGGCGTATCAAAAGGTCTTTGCAGGTTCAGAGTAACAGCAGAGCCCTGTGCATAACCACTGCAAAGGGATCTTTGCAAAACAGAAGCTAGAACTATTTTTAAAGCCTTGGTTATGTGGTTTTACTCCTGAATCCCTGACATCAGAACTGTCTTACCAGTGCTGTAATGTCGAGGACAATCGTTCTGGAAATTTACTCTTCAATTCTGATTGAAGAGTAGAGAGGCATAGAATATTACATGAGGTGATGGGTGAAATTTCCCCGGTCTGTGATAATTTGATGAGCAAAGTCATGGACTGGCCTTGGTCCACTCTGTGTTCTGATGCCATCCTTACCAGGATATTAAAGGACACTTCATTTCTCTCTCTGCTGGAAATTCAGGTCTCATTTTTCCTGCAGAAAAAAGCAGGGCTTTTTTTTTTACACCTCAGCAGGCTGATCACATTCGTTCCATGACTTTCAATTACCAACTATGTAAAATAACCTTTTGAATATATACCATAGAATAAACTTTTCAATGGTATTCTAATTTATAGAGATTTGCCCAAAATTACAAAACAATAGGTCTCTCAAATAGAATTTTATTGGTAATATAAATATATAAATGTTTTCAAGACCAATTATCCATGGCGCACCTGAAGAGCAGCTTGATTTGGAGAGGTTCCAGTCATACAGGAAGATGATGTCGTTAGGTGAGTTTAATTCATTGTTATCTTTATTCATTTATGCTGATTAAACTCCCTTATGAAGGATTCTCTCCTTCCAGATGACCATGAAGAGGAGTCCATTAACTTTGAGCTCATTGATAAGATCCATGTCAAGTTTGGACCTGCTGTAAGTTACTTTTTTTAATATTTAAAACATTAAACGGGGGTAACATTATGACCGCTGGAAGGTGAAGCCAGTATAAGACTGTTTATTAGTCTTATATTGGCTTCAGTATAAGATTGGGTGGAGGATGGCTAGGGAATGATGCCTCCTCAACACTGTGGCTTTTTGGTGTGCACCCAGTCTGCATTGGACAGTAGATCTACTAAAAAGGAACCGTGATTACTCGTGATTTTTTATTTTTTCCCCCTGTACATGTTATGGGCAAATGGTGGATTATTTTGGTCAGTCAATTAAAAAAGGTAAAATTACTGAAAAGATTGATGCCCACATATTGATCAATCTTATTTTCATTTAAATAAGCTGAATGGCTAATTCATAGATAGATTGCATATAAAGATATGCTATATCTATTGTTAGGTGTGTGTCTTCTGGTTACCTAGGGAACGCAGGTCATCTGGACATAGTGTGATTTTATGAGCTCATTTACACTACCCTTGAAAAACCGATCCATGCCGAGACCGGTCCAAGCTCGGATCAGTTAACCAGGCTGACGACCGTTTACACATCACGCTATCTCGGTTCCTCGCCTCCTCGCCTCCTACTGACGATCTGCGGTATTACTACCAGTATTGAAGGAGGAAATCAGGCAATTGGTGGCGGTAATGCACCAAAAGTTGTTTGCCAACCGCCATAAAACACAAGAAGAAGAAGACAAAGAAGGAGGCAAGGCAAGGCTAATTTATTTGTATAGCACAATTCAGTACAAAGACAATGCAAAGTGCTTTACATGATTAAAATACAGGAAGATAAAACAGAATCAAAGCAAGTAGGAAAAAATAAATAAAATAAAATAAAAAATGCAGAAACAAAAAAGAATATTAAAAACAGTTGGACTAAAGAAAATATGTTTTAGTTGAACTGTTTAACTAGAACAGTCGAAGGCAATCCTAAACAAATATGTTTTTAGTCTTGATTTAAAGGAACACAGGCTTTCTGCACTTTTACAGTTTTCTGGAAGTTTGTTCCAGATAAGTGGAGCATAGGAACTAAATGCTGCTTCTCCATGTTTAGTTCTGGTTCTAGGTATGCAGAGCAGGCTGGAGCCAGAAGACCTGAGTAGTCTGGAGGGTTGATACACTGATGGCAAGTCTGTGATGTATTTAGGTGCTAAGCCATTCAGAGATTTATAGACTAACATAAGTATTTTAAAGTCTATCCTCTGAGATACAGGGAGCCAGTGTAAGGACTTTAGAACTGGGGTGGTGTGCTCTACTTTCTTAGTCTTAGTGAGGACACAGGCAGCAGCGTTCTGGATCAGCTGCAGCTGTCTGATCCACTCTTTAGGCAGACCTGTGAAAACACCGTTGCAGTAATCGATTCGACTAAAAAGAAACGCATGGATTAGTTTTTCCAGATCATGCTGAGGCATTAGTCCTTTAATCCTGGAAATGTTCTTCAGGTGATAGAAAGCCGACCTTGTAATTGCCTTTAAATGCTTTTGGAGGTTCAAGTCAGAATCCAGTACCACACATAGATTTCGGGCCTGATCGGTGGTTACTGGCTCAAGCGACTGAAGCTGTATGCTAACTTTAGATCTCTCCTCTATTGGTCCAAAGATTATTACTTCAGTTTTGTTTTTAGGAGGGAATCAAGTAAATCAAAATGTTGTGTGGAGAAGATTTTGATTGTTGTTTATAGTTGTTGTTGTTCTTCTATTTTGTGTTGGTTGGCAAGCAACTTCCGGAGGGGCATTACCACCAACTACTGGAATGGAGTGTGAATCGGGATGTGCAGCCAGACGGAGAAGACGCGTTCTGCTCACGCGCTCTTGTTATCAGAGAACCGAGCCAGGGAAAAACCGAGCCAAGCCCACCTCTGGAACTGGTCTGCAGTTAGCTCGGTTCGGTTGTGTCTAGCTCGGTTCAGTTCAGTTTGCTTTCTATTTACACACGATAAGTTATCTCAGTTACTGAGCTCAGACCGGTCTCGGCACGGTTTTTCAAGGGTAGTGTAAATGGGGTATATGTTTCCCTGGTTCAGTAGAGCTGATTTCCACTGATGGCTAATTGAACAGCTATTGCTGAACTACAATCCTCTTAAAGGCCTTCATTTTCTACTCACCCCCATGCTGAACAACACTCTGGAGTACTTTTTTGATATCTCAAATGCATCTGGAGATCTAGGTGGCTTCTTGCTGTCTGCTGACATTCAAATAATGGAGGTGCCCAGCGCCCGAGACAGAAAGGTCCATAAAAGTTCACAAAAAACGTGTCAATATTCCTCCATACTGTTCGTCCAATGTACTCCAAGTGTCCTGAGTGGGTAGCGTCCATAATTTACTCAAAACAAAGTCATTTAGAATGTTTTTAGAGCATAAACAGTAGTGTATAGGATTTCCTAAAAGCGCGTTCACGAGTCTACGGAAACCGCGGCAGACCAAACCAGACGAAAGTGCGCATTCAGCATCTGCTCTGGCGATAATGCAAGCGTAGAAGAAGAAATGTGCTGTTTACCTGTGCAAAGAAAGAAACAACGAAAGAAAAATGTCTGAGGACTTCAGTGTTGAGGAAGAGCATGAGTTCTTTGCCGAGCTGAATGCGCACTTTCATCTGGTTTGGTCTGCCGCGATTTCCGTAGACTCGTGAACGCGCTTTTAGGAAATCCTATACACTACTGTTTATGCTCTAAAAACATTCTAAATGACTTCGTTTCGAGTAAATTATGGACACTACCCACTCAGGACACTTGGAATACATTGGACGAGCAGTATGGAGGAATATTGACACGTTTTTTGTGGACTTTTATGGACCTTTCTGCCACGGGCGCCATAGATCTCCATTATTTGAATGTCAGCAGACAGCAAGAAGCCTCCCAGATCTCCAGATGCATTTGAGATATCAAAAAAGTACTCCAGAGTGTTGTTCAGCATGGGGGTGAGTAGAAAATGAAGGCTAATCATGTTTTGGGTGTACTATTCCTTTAACGAAGTGTGTTAATGGAAGGGAAGATCTAAAACCAGCAGTTAACCAGCCCCAGAGGGCCGATTTTGGACACCCCTTCTTTAGATTATTCTTTGCTTGGAGATCTAGTGTCAACAAGCTCTCCTTGTTGATTCTGTTAAAGTATGTCAAATTTTAGCCAAACACCTCAATAAACATTGCAACTTTGGAAAATCCAAATTTAGTCTTCAGAGATTTATGGGGTCTATGCCTTTATAAGTGGTATTGTAGTTATGGTAGCAAAGAGTAGAGTAAAGCACTATATGGCAGGTTGTAATGTTATCCATACTTGTTTTAAATCAGTGTTTTTCTCATATGTATATTTTTTTTCTGTGGAAAAAAAAACTAAACCTCAGTCTCTTTCCTGTAGGTGATGCACATCAATAAGGAGCAGGTGATTGGTGTGGGAGGTGAAGGAGTTGAGATCTTTAAAAATGGAAGGTTGCGTTGGTTGCAGGTGAAAAAATCTGAACTCTTCTGCTTTTTTAATCAATTCCTTCTGGCTTTCTGAGTTTTGTCACACCACAAATACTTTCAATGCCATCCGTCTAGATTGCCACCTCTAAGAAGGTTTATTTGTTTGACATCCTGCTGCTTGGAGCCCAGGCCTTTAAAAATGGCCTCTCCATGATCCTTGAAAGTAAGCAGATACTGAAGGTGAGAGTTATGCACATTAGACAAAGAGTAAACTCAGAGATAAATGTTATTTAGACATCTTTGCTCCTTTTGCATCTTTCGCAGGTCATTCATGATTGTAGAGCCATTGCTGCGTGTCTTATCGCTCAGTTCGGGGTCCAACTAACCAATGTGTTTGACACACAGGTACGTGCAAATGTGCATCTTACTACAGCTTACTATTTTTGGGACGGGAAAAATGTAATTTAGTTCTTTTATACAAAATAAAATCGAGGGTGACCCGGATGTATATCCGGTTGCACATGCGCAAATGAGCTGATGCTGATGGTATGGATCGGGTAGGGACACTTAGTGTCCACAAAATCCATCTTGAGTATAAAATTTTAATTGTTTGCTAGGTCAGACCCATTTATCATGGATGGGCTAGACGTCACATCCCAGAACAGCGCGGGAACTTCCCAACCGAAGTAGATTACGGTGTTTGATTTAATGATGTGACATGTGTATTTTCTTATTTAACTGGCTGTTAAATTATCACACCGTTTCCCAGCTGTGAAAGAAACACCTCTTTCCATGGCTGTATTCCCACATTTTCTATTTAGTTATTAATTTATTTTATTAGATTACATTAAAAAAGGTCACTTCGCATCTGATTGCAACTGTGATAATAGCGTATAATGCATGTAGGCTCTTACCACAACCATCACTTTATGTAAACCCTCTCTGTAAGTATAGTTAGTGTATGTTGTTATGATATTTTATCCCACTTTTTCACACAATATGCAATCCTCTTCTCGGCGATTCCGTGGTAAAGTTGAAAGATAGACTATAACAGATCATAGGAAAAAAATCACACTTCAATCAAATAAATGATATTCTACTAATTTAATAATCCAACATTTTTAATTGACGTTGTGAGCGCATTGGAGCAAACGGGAGCGGACCGAAATACTTGCTCCGGCCTTTGAATTGAAAACTGCTCTGTGCTCCACCACATTTTTTCCGCTCCATTCCATCGCTCGCTCGCTCCACGCTCCGCTCTGCTCCATGCTCTTGTACAGGGGTCTCTGAAAGGGTCGTGTGGCTGCAGGTTTTACTTTCCAACCAAGCAATAGCACACCCGACTTCATTCATCTCATCGGGTCCTCATGTTCAGATTGGACTCAGTTGATGACATGAATGGAGTCTGGTGTGCTATTGCTTGGTTGGAAAGAAAACCTGCAGCCACACGGCCCTTTCTGGAACCAGTTTGAGACTCCTGCATAGGTATTGATTAGAACACAAAGCCCATCTAAGACAAGACCTCAGGGGAAATTACTGAATTATATGCAATAAGAATATAAAACTCTTAAATTGCATTTGGGCTAGGTCTACTTTGTTAGCTTTGTCGTCCTTGTATACATCTTTTTTTTCTTTTTCTTTGCTTTAATATATTTAAAGGTGGCGGATGTCATGTATTTCTACTCGAAGACTGGAGGTTTTCTTCCTGACAGAGTCAGCACGCTCCCAGAGGTACTCAGTCACTATCTGAACATGCCCTCCTCCAAGCTCTCATCTCTCCATGTGAGGTTACAGCTATCCAAGGTATATCCCTTGTTTTCCTTAAATTTATGTGTTTCCACGAAGAGTGGCCCAGTCCCGTACTATGACTTTATGAATTTCTACACCAGCAGCTCTGGTTTCATATAAAGGCTTTGCAGTTAATTATCTTACCCTGTTAGCCTATCGTATTATATGTCCGTGTTTTATATTTTTCTCTCTTTTTTTAATAAACAAAGTTCTTAATGTATGTTTACTATATAAATATCGATATATTTCACATATTTCGTGCATCGGCACAACAACTAAACAAGGGAGGAATGTAGACATATGTCAATGGGAGAAGCAACAAAACTAAGCATTTAAGCATCAATGAGCTGAGCTGCAAAAAAAAAAAAAGAACAAAAAGAAGTGTAAAAATAAGTGAGGAAAAAATTTGTATATATTAGATGCCAAGAGGAATTGGAATCTTGGTGTTCACTAACATGGGAGCTAAAGCTGTGAAAGCATTCATGTTTTGCCACCAAGTTGATGGCAGATACAAAGAAAGCAGATACAAGGAATACTAATGCTATTCTTTGGCAGCACAACCTGGCAAAAAAGTCTAAAACACTGTTGCAGTTGATCACGCACAGTGCAAAAACTCTTCTTCAGGTTTATAAAGGACTAAGTATACACTATAAGTTTAGCACTTGGCATGTGTTGTTTTGTTTGAAAATGAATAAATGCTTAACCTGTTTTTTTGTTTTGTTTTGTTTATAGTCATAGTACAGGGCTAAGTCTTTTGGAAGGCTATCCCTATTATCTGTTGGACCCAGGTTTTGCTTCCAAAAATAAGCCTAAGACTTGAGAAATTACGGTTTCATCTATCACTTCAAAGTGGATACCAGATTGAGATGTTAGGGTGTTTTATTTATTTCATTGCCTCTGATCGAACAGAAGAGTTCTAGAAACATCATCCAAGAAGCTCCAAGGCTACGTTCACACAGCAGCCTTAAGTGACCCAAATCAGATTTAAATTTTTATTTTTTCTGCCCATATGTATCTGATCTTTTCATGGCAGTCTGAACAACTCGGATCTGATTTTTTTCAATGTGACCCAGGCCGCTTGGCTATGTGGCCCTGAATCTGATACAAATCTGGTCTTAGAGATTAGTATTTATGTTTAACCATATCAAAAAGATCCGCTCCAGCACTACCATCCATGTTTACTTCCATACACACAGAGCATGCTGACGTCACTACATCCTCTACTGCACATGCGGGACACTTGCGTTGTATGAATGCATTTCACAAATGAGATCACATACAAGTCGCAGATATTTGGAAATGTGAACGGCGACGCAAAAAATTGGGATTTCACAAAAAAAATCTGAATTGAGCATTAAGGCCTCCAGTGTGAATGTAGCCTAATGCTTTGTTTGCTTAATGTAATTTTCTAGGAAGAAACTGAGATGTGGTACAAGCGGCCTTGCCCCCTGCCCCTGCTGAAGGTGATGGCGTTATCTGTGGTCCATCTGAAGCGGCTCAGACTGATGCTGCTAGACAGGCTGATGACCGACTACATGGTCCTGGTGGACTCCTATCTCAGCAGTAGCCTCGGTGAACCCGATGGACTGGAATATGTCATTATGGTTAGTCATTCAGGAATGATCTCTGAAATGTGTGCATTGTGGAAAGACAGTTTTCTTTTTATGACTTGTTGAAACTTAAAGGTATAGTGGAGGATGTTCTTTTTCCAGTAGGATCGTCAAAATAAGTGCTCCTCCTAATTATCAATCCTTCTGGTGATATGTTTATGTAAGACCGCTCTACGTGCTCGTTCCCATTTTCACTTACCGGTGGTGAGTTTGACATAGTGGAAAAAATGCAAATTCTTTTGAAAAGTAAGCTTGTATGAGCGACGCAAACAGCAACAGCAAAAGGTGCGAGGAGAAATGGGCTCATTCTCGCTTTCGTAAACATTTAACAGACATTTCCTCTTGGGAGCGGGTACAGGATTGTGGGCGGGCCTTTACAAAAATTTGGGAAAATCCTCCACTATACCTTTAACCTTTCGAAACACAAAGTTTGAATTCACAGCTAACTTAAATTAGTTAAATATAGCTTCTAGTTGCCTTTGGGGGAAACGGAAATAAGCCAAATGAAACAAATTGAATCATTTTGCAGCAGTGAGGTGTTTTTAGAGGATTCAAGATGATCTCAGAATGCTAGAGTGTTGTGATGCCATGCAGATGAGTGTCTAGAAACATCTGTCTGATTGTATCTGCATCCGAACCGGTTCTTCAGTTAGTAAACCAAAATTATTGGTAAAAAATTAAACAATGGTCTTTCTCCAGTAGGTCCAAAATATGGTCATTGCACGCAGCTACTGCTCACACTGTACGACTAAACGCAGGGTTTAGTCACACAGTTGGAATTCACAGCTCACGATTTATGTTCGGCCCGACGCTCTCATGCGATCTACCTGCTCACACTGTACGGCTAAAAAAAAGCTAAAAAATATGAAGCTTACTAAAGTGAAACGTGCTGCCTTTGCAGCGCCTTGTGCGTCGACATATTTGGAAAAAAGACATGGCTGAGCAAACATGGCTACTACGGTCTGTCAATTTTACAGACGGAACTGCAGTTCACTCATTGCATCCCTGCCATGCTGCTGTGTTTACAGAAGAATCCTTGTTTGCGTATGCGCACTGAGCGATTTGCCCACGACGGTCGGGAGAAAATCAAACATGTTAGATTTTCTCCCGACCTCACGATTCCGGATTGGGAGGTGTTCGTGAGAGGCTGATCGCCCCTCGTAACCCCCAGTACACTACACAACTTACGACGCAAGATCAAGCTGAAAGTTGGCCCGATCGAAAGATTCTCGCACGAGTGGAAAATCGCCCCGAAAATCGCACAGTGTTCCCGGCTTAAGGTAGAGTGTGGAACTGAGACACAGACGGGCTTTATCTGCTTGTACAAAAAAAACAATCTTTACTCATATTTTGCTTAGCCTCAATCTGGTGAAGCCTATAGTTCATTTTAGGCTTGTTTCAGTTCAGTATATCTTTAATAATAAAGGCCTTTATCATATTAATTAATGCAGTACATTGGCATATGTAGATAAAATTCCAATTTGATATATTTTAATTTGATACAAAAAAATTTTAATGCAGTTCATTTCAGTTAATAAAGCTATTAGTTAAACATTATCAGAAGCCTATATTGATAAATTTGGCTTTATTTAAAAAAAGTTTTGTTGTAGAAACGATGATTAAAAAAAATTGCACATAATCGATGCAACATCAAAGAAACCTGAAGACGGATTACAAATCTTGTTACATAAAAATATTTTCAAAATATATTCAAAACTTAATATGACAAAAATGTTATAAAAACATTATGATAGCTTCACTAATCTGTATATATTTTTGTAGTAGATTTTTTTTTTCTTTTTTAAATCCATTGAGATGGTGATATGCTTATTTTTCCTGTTTGCGTTTTGTAGAATAATGTGTTGGAGTTGCCTAAGGAGCTCAGGCAGCTGGATGAAATGCGCAGTGAGCGGCAGGAGCGGGCTCGGAAACGCTACCCTGTCACAGAGCAAGGTCTGTTGGATCGCTTCAACCCGTATCCCGATTCGGAAACCACACCAGCAGCAGATGGGCACAGCAACACACAGTCTCACTCCCTGGAGGTTGATGCTACACCATGTCTGTCATCAAAAATGGATCCTCCTGATCCCCTGCAGGATCCAAGTGTCTCCAGAGACCATTTTCCAGATGCCTCCTCTGAGCCTCAGAAAGAAATACCTACAAATACTCATCTTCCTGCAACTTTAAACGAAGAAGTAAAGTGTATGATGGGGAGAGGATGGCAGATTGTGAAAGAGCAGTCATCTACCCCATTCCTCCCATCCTTTGGGAGAGGTTTTCCCCTACAGAAGTCACACCCTCAGATTCCTGGAGAGGGCGCTGGAGGCATAAAAGCTCCAATCTGGCAGGAGAAGAATCTCTGCATGATGGCTCTGCAGTCACCAACAAAGTAAAGCTCCAGCCTGGCTGTGGAGATGGAGAACTACCCAGAAATTCTAGTGGTGTAGGAGAACCTCCTACTCACTAATTCAACCATTCACAAATTTAAATATATATCCATATCCAATATATCCATCTCTGGTCTTAAAGTGCCAGCCTTTAAGACCAGAGATGGATATATTGGTTGTTTCCTTGTCTATAACTGTTCTGACCAGTAGATGGCAGTAAAAGTCCTTTTATAAAATTCTCCTCAGTTTTTGTAAAAGATCATTTTAATAAATATCATATGAGCTTTATGGCTGCTGGAAAGACAAACTGTTCCTTCCTGTTCTCTTTAATTTTGTTTTCTAATTTCTTTCCATCTTAATTGGGGTTCTGGAAATGTCTAAAAGCGATACCAGAAAGTATTAGCTTGCAACAGTTTCTTGTTTTATAGATTTTCTTCTGATTTATTTTTTTTAAAGTGGCAAAAAAAAAAAAAAAAAGTTATGACTGTTGATATAAAGTGAAACCACCAGCGATGGTTATTAAGGGGCCATATGTGTACAGTATGTTACCGCCTGCCTGCTTCTGTTGATTGTTAGAGGTAATAATGTGCATTGATGCATGTGTTAACTAAGCTAAACAATTGTTTTTACTTTTAATATAAATAAACTGACCCAGTGACTCTCAACAGCCTCACTCTTTGTAGATACTTGCGTCATTAATCACAGGTGGCAAGCACCTGCTGCGTCGTACAAAAGCTGATCGTATCCAATTAATTTGATGCTTTCAGATACCATGCAGATTTCACAGAGGCATTACATAGCCAATTTTCCCGGGTCATCAGAGATATTGCTGCAGATCAAGGCATGATCACGACAGGAGGGCATTGCTGCGTCGTGCAGTGTGAATGGCGCTCTGTTGTATAATCACATCTTGCTGTGTGCAGAGGCTTGGGCCCTTTCCAGGGCTTTCAAATTGAAAGCATGAAACAGATAATGTAGGATTTTAATTAACTGGGAGGCAGCCAATCTTAAAGCCCTGTTTCCCCCTCTTAGCAACCAGCTCCTCCCTCAGCTTCTGTTAAACTCCTGCAGGGTGGAGCCCGTCCATATGCTCCCTTTACGTGTCTTAAATGGCGGTATTCCTCACTGTAAGTCCAGCAGAGGACTGGAAGTTTAACACTATCAAATGCTGATTCAGTTAATGTTATCTTTAGTTGCAGAAGGTTCAGACGCAGCGAAACTTGAAAATATTAATGGTAACTTTCCTGTACAACAGCAGAAGGGGAGATTTATCTGTGTCAGTCAACAGTAAAGTTGTTTTGGAGGTGTGTGTGCGCGTTCGTGTGCACATTTGGGGTTGGTGGGGGTTACAAGTCTCCGTGGAACTGTGGAGGACAAGCTGCTGTCATTGACCACCAGATTGCAGCTCTTATTTTAGAGGACCTTGCATTTCCTCTCCGTCACAATAATGCCTTATGTGCTCCACTTCCTGTTTCTCAGGCCTGGAGGAAGGAACTGCAAGCTTGTCACACGGTAGTCACCGTTTCCTCAACCCCCTTTGCCTCCCTCCCCCTACCTCTGCACTCCCTACCCCCAAACTTCAGACAGTGTTATGTCCTTCAGAGGGGAAAGATGTCTGCACCTTCAGCATCATAGCAGGATGTGTCTGAGCTATTTTTAAGTTTAACTCGGAAAGGTAGCGCACAGACATAAACACAAACTTGAGGATGGCCAGCTGTGTTGATTCACTATTTCAATGTAAAGGCTCCACTGTGTGCAACCAGTTGCTGTTTTGACTAAGCTGCATCTTTAGGATACGTCTCTTAAAAAAAATAAATAAAAATTTTAGTAAAATATTTGTTATCCTTCTACAGATTTTGTCAGATTACAACAAACTTTGCTGTATTCAAATGAAATATAACAGGATGCAGTTTTATCCAGGCCTTCTGAACGGATACTTCAAAGAATCACTTTTTAGTTTTGGAGGTTTTTGGGGTTGTTGAATCCAAATTTTGTGCCAGTTGGGATTAAATTAAGACTTTCTGTTTAACTGGGCCATCTGCTACAGAAAGGTGCTTTGATCCAAACTTTTCCATTGTAGCTGTCGCTGTATCTTTAGGGGGTTTTGTCCTTCAGGGGGGTGAACCTCTGCCCCCGTCTCTTAAGGTCCATCAGAACTTTTGCTTACTGTTTATTACAGTCTCCATTTCCTTACTAAAGTAACCATATCGACACAATCCCGTCTTTACCACTTTTCAGGGCCTGTTTAGGGGGGATGTACAGCATATATTTTTCTCATGCCATGTAAGCTGAAATTGTCCAATTTTGGTCTCACCTACCTGGATCCCCTTCTTCCACATGTGTCGTCGTTACGTTACTCTCTAGCTTGCAGGGAAATTCTACTATGGTCTTCTTACCACTGAAATAAAGACTGCTATACAGTAGAGTGAATGCTGATTCTACTACCTAAGCTTAGGATCTTCGCAGCTTCTCCTTAGTTACATCCGGCCTCTTTCCTGCTTTTATGAAAGGTGCTCTTTCTTGGACAAACTGAATAGCTTTCAAGTTAGGAAAACTTTTCAAAACCCGCCGTTAAAAATCTTAATTTATTTCTGTACTGTCCACTGTATATAAATATATATTCCATGGTATCATGGTAAAGGGGTGGTACAAATGTGTTCCTCACCCATGTTTCTTCATTCTTAAACTTTACAATTATGCGCCATGTTTTGCACATTTAAGACATATCCTCCAGAAAAAACAAAGTCTGATTTCAAAATGACAATAGATTAAAAAATAATTGGAAGGTTAGGGATATTGAATTTGGGACTGTAGATCGGTTATACATCAAATTCAAAATATGCTTTTAAACCACTTCTAAATTCACTGCATCATCTGACAAAATGTCAGACAGTATTTCAGATCTCCTGAATTTCACACAGCACTCAAAGGTGTTGACTCCCTCCCTCCATGCTGCCTTACATAACTACAGAGGAAAACAACAAGCTGATGGTCCGGAGCAGCTCTGCCGGTGCTCCATTGGGGTTAGGCCTCAGATTCCTCCATAATTAATAGGCTTTAATCAATTATTAAAGACAGGGATAACTTACTGAAAACCACTCCCTTGTTAAACAAACATGTTGTTAGCTGTTTTGCACTTCTAAGCACGTCATTAAAATTTACTGTTGAGTCGTGCTGACTAAGTGTGCATCAGATCACGGTGCATTTCTTCAGTACTGCTGAAGACATGGAAACGTAGTGTTCGGACTGCTGGCTCGTCTGTAGTCGTGTTGTTTGTGTACTTTTCTAATTTATCCCAATCACTGATTCTGCTTTATCAGGGAACAACAACTTAGCTCATATTCAGCAGTTCTTTCCCTCCAACAACAAGTTACATTAATGTTGACAAAATAACATTGCTTTCATTATTAATAGAAACCACATGTTTTTCTTTTGTGCTCCTAAGAATGAAGGAATATAATCATAGATCAGGTTTCGAGCCGCTGAGCTGTTTCGGTGGACTAGGTCTTCCATCTGCCTGTAAAAACCTTTTGTCGAACTCTTCTACCACCAGCTCACCCCTCTCATTTTCTCACATTACAAAATGACCCTCTTTTGCGCTCCTCGGGTTATTTTCAACTATAGAATTAATATTTAACGTGGGAAAGGTTGAACTTTCCAGATGGTTCCTAAACTCAAACATAAATAAGGAAACAAAACCATACATCAATATTTTATCTCTTTTACTAAATGCTTTCATATAGTTTGGAATTGCAGAGATCTTACACAACAAGAGCTCCTGAACATCTATTTAAACTCATGCAGGCTCACCGTTTGGGACTTTTTGAACTGCTGTGAAATGTTTAATCAGGCAGCATGAAGTATTGAGACCTGGTAGTGACCTTTCTGGGACGTATTGTGACCTTCAGCTAGGATAGAGAGGAATGTTAATGAATTAAGCAAAGTATTTTTTAGGAATGTTTGCATTTAGTTAGAATTCCAAACTTAGATTGTGGATCAATTAGTTCAAGTGTGATTTGCTTCCTTTTTCCTTCCTGCCTTCTAGGTACTTAGAATAAAAAAGAAAGCTCACAAAAAATATAAATCTTCAAAGTGAGACAAAGATTATTACAGTAGATTAGATTATTTTTTAAATAAAAACTCCAGGGTGTGGATGTTACATGATCAAGATGAAAACCAGTTTATCACTCTTCCAAATCGACAGCATCGATCTTATATCTGGATCCTAAGGCATTACCAGGCCAGTCTCCTTCTATTGGAGTGAACTGTTTTCTAAGTGAGGCTTTCACAGGCATCATGCTACAGAGCAGAGGCTCTACTCCAAACTGAATCTGAATTAAAGAGCCCAGTTTCTTTAAAGAAGAAGCTAGTTTCTACTTCTTGTGTGCAAGATCTTTTTTTTTCTTTTTTTTCTAGCATGTTCCACAAACAAGAAGTAAACAAAATTTTCAATTCTTGTTAAGCTTGGGTTTTAACAATGCCTCCATCACTGCAGCTGTGTCCCAGTCCTTTATTTATTTCCTTCTCTATCCTTTCATCAGTTGGGAACAAACCCCAAGATTCTTGGATTCCCCTAATAAGGAGTACAGACCGATGAGAACAATGGCCTCAGATTTAAACAGCTTAATCTCTTCTTGGGTTCTTCAAAATCAGCACCTGCCATAGCTTTAAGGCACCATTTGCATCATCTACAAAAACTTATAGTTTCCATCAGATTCCCAAATCAAACACAATTTTTTCTAAGATCCTGTCAAAAAAACACCAGGATCTGAGAAAAGGAACAATCATGCAGAAGTCATACCTGCTCTAGAAAAGAGGATACATTTTTAGTGAGCATTTCTTAGTGGAGACAGAAGCAACAGATTAAGAGGTGAGATGTTCCTAATAAGCCAAAGCCAGATTTCTTTGGTCTGCTTTCCTAAATACTGGAATCATCGCCGCCGTCCACCAGTTCTTATTTCACATTTTGTCAGAGTTCCTAATACGCCTTTTGGGAGAAAAAAAAACAGAAATCAAAGACAAAGAAATAGACTTGCTGACTGAGCCTCTAAAATATTCAAAATTTCTTCCGATTTTGCCTTTCTCTCATTATTATACAATCTAAATCAATACATTTGATAGAAAATAGATAACCTGAATAAAGAGCTATTTTGAAAATAATTTATTTATGAAAGGAGATTCTATTCAAACCAACCTTACCCCATATACAGTATAGAAGGTAAATAAATTGCTAGAAATACTTCAATGTGACCCTAACCTAAGAAATAGAGGTCCTTAGAAATGTTTTAATTAAAGTCTGAATTTTGACTTGGCCGATGCTGGCTTGTTTGTTTTGAATATCAGATTACCTTGAGCCAGTTATTAATCTTCTTGATTTCCTTTGATTAAAAATATTCAAGCTAATTTCTGTGACCAACAGAACTTCTTTGAATCCTTTTAGAATGTATGAAGTTGACTTTGAAACGTTTAGTGATTCAGTAAAAAGCCTGTTTTGTAAAGTTCCTTGAAATGTCTTGTTGGTTTGTTGTTACCAGAAAAATGAATTGAATTAAACTGAAATGAAATGAGAGATGAAAAGTTGGACTTGCTATACATAGCTGAGGTTACAGGTCAGTCAATGTGTTGTTTTTTTTGTTGTTTTTTTTTTTTTTTTGCAAACAAAA